TGTCTGTGTCCAAATTTCCTCTTCCTATAAGGACACTAGTGTTACCGGATTAGGACCCACACTAATGAACTCTTAATTTATCCCCTTAAAGACCCCATCTCCCAATATGACTCTGAGGTACTGGAGATTAGGACTTCAACATAAGAATTTAGGGAGGACAGTTCATGACATTGTCTCCGAATTTCTTTTCTTTTTTTTTTTTTTTTTTAATTTCTGGAAACGGGATCTTGCTCTGCCGCCCAGGCTGGTGTGCAGTGGCATGATCATAGCTCACTGCAGCCTCAAACTCCTGGGCTCAAGCGATCCTTCCACCTCTGCCTTCCAAATAGCTGGGACTATAAGTGTGTGTCACCACACCCAGCTAATTTTTAACTTTTTTTTTGGGGGGGGGGGGTAGAATCTTGCTCTGTTGCCCGGGCTGGTTTGGAACTCCTGGCCTCAGGTGATCCTCCCACCTCAGCCTCCCAAAACATTGAGATTACAACAAGTATGAGCCACTGTGCCTGGCTTGGAATTTTTTTTTTTTTTTTTTTTTGAGACAGAGTTTCACTCTTGCTGCCCAGTCTGGAGTGCAATGGCGTGATCTCGGGCTCACTGCAATCTCTGCCTCCTGGGTTCAAGTGATTCTTCTGCCTCAGCCTCCTGAGTAGCTGAGATTACAGGCACGCGCCACCACGCCCGGCTAATTTTGTACTTTTAGTAGCGACAGGGTTTCTCCATGTTGGTCAGGCTGGTCTCGGAACTCCCGACCTCAGGTGATCTGCCCGCTTCGGCCTCCCAAACTGCTGGGATTACAGGTGTGAGCCACAGCACCTGGCCGGAATATTTTTTAAAATCACTGTTCTAGGTCGCTTATTTTTGGGGGACAGTGTTGGTAAATTGCAGGGATGGCTGCCAGGACACATCTGAGAGAACAGAATGATAGTGTTCAAAGGTAAAAGTAACTCAACATGTGAAGGTGTTGGAGACTTGAGATGGAGTGTGCACTGTTAAAAGTGGATGTGGATGACCTGTTACTGTGCTGAGCCTGTTGGGAGTTCACCATCTTGGCTCTGGTTTTCAGTCCTGTTGTTGGAGAACAGCTTCTCAGTGATGTGGTGATACTTCCCACACTTTTGTCAGCTGCCCACTCCAGCACCAGATTCTGGGATTTTAGAGAAGGGAAGATTGATAGCAAGCTCACACATGTGTGGTTTAGTCACTGTCATTGACGCATCAGGAAATACAATGACATGGCATGTGCACCAACATGTTCAGCAGTCATGACTCCCACCCCCACCCCAGCTTGCCTTTTTGTCGTCCTTCCCTGCTTAATACGGGTCCTTTGGGCTTCCTGCACACGTGAGTCATTAATCCAGTGGTTGAAGTTTTACACCTGGTGGCTCCCAAGAGCTTGTGTTGTCATGAATGTGAGATCACAGACATTTGGCAGATGACGCAGTGATGGCCGTTTTATGCTGCAATCCTGAGTGGAACCCAGGAAATGGCTGACACCCACTGAAGTTTGTTACATTTGATGTAAACCTTTCAGTTTGTACATCAAATGTACCTTTAGCGAGGCTGCATCTGTGGTACAAGTTTGGTGTTTCTGCGCTTTTAGGAGAGGCAGGAGAATTGCTTTTAGGACCAACTGAATTTGGTAACCTGGGGAAATAACTCAGATAAGCAGTTACATTATTTCTATGCATAAATTAAAACGAAGGCCGGGCACGGTGGCTCATGCCTATAATCCCAGCCCTTTGGGAGGCTGAGGCAGGTGGGTCACTTGAGGTCAGGAGTTCAAGACCAGCCTGGGCCGTCTCTACCAAAAATGTGAAAATTAGCCAGACCTGGTGGTGTGCACATGTAATAGGCTACTTGGGAGGCAGAGGCAGGAGAATTGCTTCAACCTGGGAGGCGGAGGTTGCAGTGAGCAGAGATTGCACCCTAGTACTCCAGCCTGGGTGACACAGCAAGACTCCATCTCAAAAATCTCACTCTGTTGCCCAGGCTGGAGTGCAGTGGCGCGATCTCGGCTCACTGCAAGTTCTGCCTCCCGGGTTTCAAGCCATTCTCCTGCCTCAACCTCCTGAGTAGCTGGGACTACAGGCGCCTGCCACCACGCCCAGCTAATTTTTTTGTATTTTTTAGTAGAGACAGGGTTTCACCGTGTTAGCCAGGATGGTCTCAATCTCCTGACCTTGTGACCCACCTGCCTCAGCCTCCCAAAGTGCTGGGATTACAGGCGTGAGACACCGCGTCCAGCCAAAAAAAAATTTTTTTTAAGCAAAAATAGAAAACTTCAAATATATAAATGCATTTGGTTTTGAAACCTTGTATTTCTGAGTCGGACTGAAAACCAACAAAAAGAAGACCCTTCTTGGTAGTAGAAGTCAGTAGTCAATGTCACAGACTTTGAACATACTTATCTTTCTAGATTTTCTCTTTTCCTTTTTTTTTTTTTTTTTTCTTTTTTCTTCCTGAGACGGAGTCTTGCTCTTGTTGCCCAGGCTGGAGTGCAGTGACACGATCCCAGCTCACTGCAACCTCCACCTCCTGGGTTTAAGCAATTCTCCTGCCTCAGCCTCTCAAGTAGCTGGGATTACAGGCGGACACCACCATGCCCAGCTAATTTTTGTATTTTTAGTAGAGATGGGGTTTCACCTTGTTGGCCAGGCTAGTCTCCAACTCCTGACCTCAGGTGATCTACGTGCCTTGGCCTCCCAAATGCTGAGATTACAGGTGTGAGCCACCGCACCCGGCCTCTAGATCTGGTTTTTGCAGCACTTTGTATGTTTTATTGTAAATCTCTGTGTTCCTGGGATCTAGCACAGTGCCTGCCACTCAAATATTGACCCTCTGTTTCCTTCTGAGAAAGATTTAGAAAGCGGGATTCTCCCTCTGGTTTTGACTATTTCATCATCTGAATTTAAACTTGTCATTTTGACCTGAAACAAATTCCTGCCACTATTTTTAAAATTGCATGTATCAGAATGAATTGTATGCATCAGAAAACTTGTTAGAGTTAGTATTTAACAGAGCTGTGCCTCGTGTTGCTTTCTCTGAATATTCTCAAAACGGGGACTGGGGAGCTAGTAATTGTCGAGTCCTCTATTTAAAATTTATGCGTTTTTCTCCCTCCTGCCCCACTCAAGAAAGCTAGGAATTAACCCTTTATTCTTTGTGAACGCCGAGTTTAATAAGCTGGATTTGCAGAGAATAGGAGCGACCTGTAAACCATCTTGGTCCCTCTTGTCACTGGACTCGAGGCTGGCAGATGGCTGTGGTGAAGTGTTGCCCAGAGCACTTGACATTTAGAAGTCAGAGAACCCTTGCTTCAGCCCTGGGCAATATAGTGAGACCTCGTCTCTACTAAAAAACAAACAAACAAAATTAGCTGGGCGTGGTGGCATGCACCGGTAGTCCCAGCTGCTCGCTGCTCAGTGGCTGAGGCAGGAGGATCGCTTGAACCTGAGAGATGGAGGAGTGAGCAGTGATCGTGATCGCGCCACTGCACTCCAGCCTGCGAGAGAGAGTCAGACCCTGTCTTAAACTTTACCTTGCTGTACTGTCACATACAAAAGAAAATCAAGAATAAAAGTAAGGTCTAATGTCAGCTAATATTTACTGGGTGCCTCACTTCCTGTGGATCAGGCACTGCGCTACGCACTTTGCTCGTTTGAATGCTCACGTGGCTGTGAGTCAGGCGTTAGTAACGCTCCTTCCCATACGAGGCGCTCACAGATGAAAGTGATGAAGGCGTTTGCCCCAGGCCTCACGTTCGTAAGAGGAAGCGCCCAGATTTGGGGCCACGCCTCATTGCTGCCTCTGGGTTTCCAGATCCCCTGAGGAGGAATGGCCAGCATGGCCTCTTGGCGCAAACCCGCCTCCTCTGGAACTCCAGGGACCCTCAGGCCCTCTGCGCTGTTCCCGCCTGTCAGGGTGCCCCGCTCCCGGGCTGCAGTCTGTGCGCCCCCACTGTCCCTGAGCCCCTGTGTCCTGATTTCTCTGTGGTGTGGTGCATGGGCAGGTTCCGGGGGGGTTTCTGCAGATGTCAGGTTTGATACACAGCAGCCTTGGCTCGTGGCCCGGTCTTCTGGGACGTTAGCGCTCCCGGTCCCAGTGCCGTGGCTGCAGCTGCTCGCCCCATTCCCCACCTAAAGGGCCCGAAGGACGGGGCCATGGCCCGTGTGCGGTGAGCAACGTTCCTTCCCAGACTTCTCGGTGCTGGGTCCCGGGCTAGGCAGGATCGGTCAGTTCCCTGCTGAGAACGTCCGGGCGGGAAGAAAGTGAGGAGGAGGAGGATGCGCAATGACCCTCCACTCACAAAGGCCGGTCCCGAACCACCCCTCCCTAAGCGCCTCCACCGAGCCAGGCTCGGTCCTACACAATGGGGACGGAGACACTCCGGTCAAGTGTCACTTGTCCTCGAGTAAGAGGAGAGGGATGACAGGCGAGCAAGGGAGTCACAAGGGCTCTGCAGAGAGTGAAGCGTGAGTGGTGATCATAGAAGGCTTCCCGGAGGAGGCGGTGCGGTAGCCGCGGCTCGGAAGACGCGGAGGAGCCAGCCAGAGAAGGGAGGGGCAAAGGCTCTCCAGGAGGAAGGACCCGTGAGTGAGGCGCGGGGGATTCAGCGCCCCCAGCCCAGGAAGAGGTGCCTTCGGAGCTCGGGGCCAGCCTCTACCGCCCTTTCAGGCGGAGCGCCGGGCGTGGGCGGTGCCAGGGCCCCTCGCGGCCGCTGATTGGGCGGCGCGGCGGAGAGGAGCGGCTCCGCGGGCGCCGATTGGTGAGTGAGGCGGCTCGCCGCCGCCAGGTGATCTGGGGGTCGGTTCCCGCGGCCACGTGTGGGGGCGCGGGGACGGGGGCGGGGGCGGGGGCGGCGGAGGGCGGGCACCAGAGCGCCGGGCGGCGGCGGCGGCGGAAGATGCGGGGGTCGCGGGCCGGAGCGACGGGGACCTGACTCGAGAGGCGGTGAGTGAGCGCCGGGAGCCGGGCCGGGGCGGGGGGCTTGGTACGCGGACGCGGGCGCGGGAGGGTCTCGGGAGTGAGGGGCGCCGGTCACTCGCTCGGTCGTGTTCTGCCCTCCCTGCCACCGTAAGCCTCCTCCGTGCCCTGGAGCAGAGCCCAGCCCGCTCCTGGGTCCGGGGACTCTGCCGGGGCCCCTGGCCGTCCCCCGCAGCGCCCCGAGCAAGGTAGCGCAGCAGGACCGGCGGCCCACTCTGGAGCGCTTCGCACCCCTGCGCCCGCCCCTCAGGGGCCTCGGCCCACCCACCCCTGGAACAGCACTTCCCGCTCCCGTGTCGCCTGTTTCGAGAGGCCGTGAAGCAGCACCCCCAGCACACGCACGCACCTCGCCTTCTCCTCACCCCGCTGTTCTCATTACTTTACCCCCATGCTGCCTCCACCACCCCCAGCTGGGTGCCCCTAGAGGGCGGGGACATTCGTCCACTGGCGGCGGGGCCTGACACACAGTCAGCCTCGGAAACATTCCAAGAAGGACCAGAGCTACGAGCACCCCAACAGGTAGTGCTGGGGGATTCCCACCCTACAGCTGAGGACCTGGAGGCTGAGAGCTTAAGTGACTTGCCCAAGGTCACGCCAGCCAACCACGTTAGACCCCACAATCCAGGTTCTTGACCCCTGGCTGGGTGGCCTTGGGTTTCCCGACCCTGTGGCCCAGGACAGGTGGACGCTTGTTGGGGCAGTGGGAGTAGACCCTCCGGCCAGAAGGCGGCACCTAGTTCCCTAGCCGGCGGCTTCCTTGCCTCACCTCCTCCTGGACTGGCGGGGACCCCCACCAAACTCCAGCAGTGGACACCCTGCTTATCTGTGGGAGGGGAGTCCGAGCAGAAAGGCACCGCCATGGCCTGAGGAAACAGCACGAGACATGGATTTGCTTCCCTGCTCTCCCACTTAAGCTGTGTGACCATGGCCAAGTGACTTCAGTCCTCTGAGCCACCCTTTGCTGACCCAGGGTCTGCGGGCTGGTGGTCTCCCCAACTCAGCTACGGTGCAGTGCCCCAGAGGGCTTCTGCGCCTGGCCCACGAGGCAGGTCAGCCCATCCAGTCTCCTGCCTCTGAGCAGGGCCACCTGGAAAACCTGAGGACAGCCCCAGCCTCATTCCAAGTGTGTCCCCTTCCGAAGGTGCTGGCCCAGCCAGACTGCAGTGGAAAGCCTGGGAAAAGCAGATCTGCCCCCAGAGAGACAAGCGGGTGTTTTGTGCCTGGAACGGGTAAGGTCTGTTTCCAGGGTTAGAGTGAGTCCCGTGCCCTCCCTGGTCCCCGGGGAGCCCCCCACCCCAACTCCACGCCTGGGCTGAACGCACTGTGCTCCTCAGGCTTAGGAAGGAGGGAGGAACTTCCAGTTTCCAAGGAGGCTAAGGACCAGGGAGATGGGGAAAGGCTCAGGTGATGGTGGGTGGGGTGGGGACCCTAAGAGGGCCAGTGGTTGGCCTCCGCATCCCCACAGCCGGGACACTGGGGACGCTGAAAGCTGCAGCTTTGGGTGTGGAGGGAGGGGCTACAGCAGCCCTGGACACAGCTGTGTGCGCGTGTGAGTGTGAGATGCCCATGCGGCTCCTCCCCATCTCACGCTTGGTGCCTGAGGGGCTGCGTCCGCCAGGACAGGATGGGAAACGTACCCTTCCCTCTCCTCCCCACAGCTCTCCTTTCTCTCCTTTGCTTTGTCTTTCTCGCCCTTCTCTGTTCCTGCCTCTGTCCCTGGCCACCCCCTAATCCTCCGTACCTTCCCTCTCCTTTTCTCGGCGTTTTGCGTTTCGTTGTCTTTGCCTCCTCCCTCCCCACTGCCTGCCATCCTGGCCTATCCTGGCCCCAGGATGTGACTATGAAGTTGAAAGGTGGCTTCACTGGAAGCCCCCCTGCCCTGCCACCTCCTTACCTGGAAATGATGTCACATGGCTTTAGTGCGGGTTGCACATCTAACTTTGCTTTATTTAAACATAAAAGGTATAGTAGGTAAAGGATATGACATGAAAATGATCAGGGTACAATAGCCCAGTAAAGCAGGAGGGCAGCCAGGATAGGAGGGGGCGCCAGGAAGACTCAAGGGGACGGTACAGGTGCAGCGTTTTTTTTCTGGCTCCTGGCTGCTCACTGAAAGTGGAGCGGTGCAGGCATCTCCACCCTGGCCTGAGCCTGGGGTTAAAGGTCATGGGCGGGCAGAAACAGGGTCCCTTCCTGGGCTCTTGGTGCTAACAGAGTCAGTTCCAAAGCACCCCAGCCCTCCTCCTTGAGCGAGAGCACACCCCAGACCCGTCCTTGCTGCCCAAGGCTCTGTTGGATACCTGCTCTCTGTGGCGGGAATCCGAGCCCCCAGGCAGGCCTCCCCTGCCTGGCCCTCCCACCCTGGGTGGGCGCCTGTCGGGGTGGCCAAGGACAAGGAGGGAAGCGGAAGTGGTCAGACCCCGCTGTCCTCCCAAGCTCCCTCCTGAGCGGCAGGCTTTGTTGAGCTTTGGATCCGAGCCTGGCTGATGTCGGGCTGGGCGCCTGCTCCTCCATTCTTGTCCCCATCTACTTCTCACATGATCCCAGGTTTGCAGATGAGGAGGGGGAGGCTCAGAGGGTTGAGGCAGCTGGCCCAAAGTCACACAGGATTTGGACCCAGGACTCTGATCCCAAGTCAGTGATGACAGGCAGGCTGGTGAGAGAAGCCAGTCAGGATGGGACACAGAGGTGGCTTTCTCATTGGTCCCAGCAGAGACCGAGGGAGCTGAGTCCTGGGGGACCTTGCCAGAGGCATTCAGCCGTTCCTTCTTGGAATCATGGGGCTATGATGTGTTAATTCCACATTAATTGAGCACCAGCTGTGTCCTGGGCTCCCATGGGAAATAGTGTGCTCCCTGCCCTTGAGGACAATCGCCTAAGGGGGGTCCACTCCTCTTCCACGACTGGATGTGGGAGAGGGGTCCCAGGAAAGACCAGAGCCTGACTGGGCTGGGCAGTTGGAGGGGGTGGTCCTCAGCCCCCAGGGCAGTTGTCCTCCTTCCCCACATCCTGTCTGCGTCAGCGCACTGTCTGGCTGAGTTCCGGTTTTCATGATCTGCAAGGGACTGGGGGGTTCAGGAAGGGGCTGGGGTCCGTTTGGGCTGAGTGAGGCATGGTCACCTGCAGCAGGTCCCTGGCCTCATCAGCTCTGGCCATTCAGCTTGTAGCCACCTTCATGAACTACAGAGCTCCTGCCCTAGAACCTGCTATAGCTCCCACTACCCACAGGGTGGGATCTGAACTCCCGAGCCTGGCATCTAAGGCTGATCCCAAACTGGATCCAGCCTGCTGTTCTGGTCTTGCTGAGGTCGGCCTGCGGGCCCCCGCTGCCTGCCTGCCTTTGTGTCTTTTCAGTCTCTGTTTCTGCTGCTGTCACTGCCTTTCTCTTTGATGGCACCCTCTCAGGTGGCCCTCCCTTCCCTCGGGCACTTTGTGAAAGCTGGTTACAGGTCTATCCCTTGACTTCCACCCCCTGGGGGAGGCCCCAGCCCAGAGCACCACAATCCTCAGAGCTTGCTGAGTGAATGAGTGAGTGACCCTGGGCATGTACCACCACACCCTTCAGATCTTGACCCAAACCTCCCCTCCTCAGTGAGGGCTTCCCAGCAACAATCAGCCTAGCCTCTAAGCTGACGTTTCCCATTCTCGCTCCATCCGCATCTCACGTGTGATCTATCTTACTATTTAGTTCAATGTCTTTCCCCCCAGCAACAATGTAAGCTCCTTGAGGGCAGTCAGAGATGTCATCATTTTCTTCAGGGCTGGCTCCCCAGTGCCCAGGGCATTGCCCAGCATTGCTGCACACATAGCAGCTGCTTAGGAAGCCAGTGAATGAATGGCCTGTGGGGGGCACTCTGTGGCTTGCCTGCCTCGAAAGCAGCCCTTCCCCCTCTGCCCTTTGCAGCCTCCCCTCCTGTGGAGCTGGAAGCCAGGCACCCCGGGGGCCATGCAGAAGGCGGGGGCTGGGGGCCGCAGGGCCTCTGACTGTGGGCTGGCCCCTCACCGGCCCAGGTGCATCACCAAGTTTGCCCAGGTGGGTGGGGACGCCCTGTCCAGGTGTGCTCTGGTGGGTGGCCCTCAGGTAGCAGGTGCTGGTGGTTGGGAAGTGCTATGGGTCTAGGACCTACTTCTACCTCTCTCTTCCCTGACTTGGGCTGGGGAGTGTGTGTGTGTCCTGATGAGGGACTGGGACTTCGGAGAGCTTCAGTGACCTGACCAGGGTCACCTGCCAGGAAAGCAGCAGAGCCTGGGCTCCGAGAATCGAGCTCTGTCTGTCCACAGCCTGCCTGGCAGAGCAGATGTGTGTTTGGGGGGAATTTGGAGGATGGGGTTAGGAGCCACGGACCTGACTCCCTGACTTACTCCCTTCGCCCCACCGCCGAGCAGTACGTGGGCTCCTTCCCTGTGGACGACCTGGATACCCAGGAGAGCGTGTGGCTGGTGCAGCAGCAGCTGTGGGCGCTGAAGGTGGGTGGCCTGGGAGGGCACTTCCCTAGTGAAAGTCACAGCCTTGAAGACCAGATAACCCCCAAGACCAGATCCACCCTCCCCACAGTTAGAGAGGGGCAGGACACAGGCAGTGTTTGTGGTGGGCTGGTCAGGACACACACCCAGGCCCCACAGCTGGAAGCCACAGATGGAGATGTGGGTGACAGTCATAGCCTGGCCAGCGGTGGCCCTAGCTAGGGGTCGTCTGCCAGGAGCCATCCACACTTCCCCAGCGCCAGTGGGTTCCACCAGCCAGGGCCCCACCCCGTGCCAGGGGTGGTGGAGTGGGCTAACCAGCCTTTGGTGGATGGTACTGAGGCTGGGCAGGCCAAGGCAGGGTCTGGGAGGTGATGCCTGTCCCCACTACTATTTTCCACCCAGGACTGTCCCCGACGCCGGGCCGTCATCCTGAAATTCAGCCTTCAGGGTCTCAAGATCTACAGCGGGGAGGGTGAGGTAGGAACCCCTGTGGGTGCAGGTGAGGACTGGATGGGTACAGGTGTCTCCAGCCTCAGGATGCGCTGTCCACCTAGGTCCTGGCCTCAGCTCGGCCCCCTTGCTTCCCCTGGGGTCCCCCTGGCGCACCAGCCTACCTGCTCTGGGCCTTTGGACTTGCACCAAGGGCCGCCTCTCCCAGGGCTGGCTCGGGCAACAGCTTCCCACCCCTGGGCCTCCAGAATCCCTCCGGGGCCCCCTCCCCGCCTGAGCATCAGGAACATCCAGCCCACTGAGGCTCTCGCAGCTTCCCTGCCCCACCCTGGCTGGTGGGCCATGGGCAGCTTCACCCAGGTGCGGTAGGGCTGCTCCTGGCCACTGCTCCTCCCTGCCCTGCTGCCGGCTCGTCCTCCTGCTGAGCCAGCGTGGGGCGGGCACTAACTGCGCGCCAGACTGCACCTCACAGCTGCAGGCATCAGTCACCTACCACTGAGGCACACCTGGTGTCTCCAGAGCTGGACATTGCGGGGCCCTGGGGTCAGGTCCTGTGCCACTCACATGAGGTCCCACTGACCCCCAGCAACAGCCCCGTCGAGAGGTGCTGGTATCTCCCTACCTGACGCGTCACCATAGGCGCTCAGAGGACTGCCCTCGCCTGCCCGAGTCACACAAATGAGTGGCAGAGCCAGGATTCACACCCCAGTCACCTGCCTCCAGGGGCCAGGCGTGTCACCCCAGTGCCTGCCGTCACTCCCATTCTCTGGGCCCCCGGCAGGCCGAGCATCACATGGGGGTGGCGATCTTGAGCCCAGGGCCCATGTGAAGGATGAGGGCTTGAGACTGGGCGGGATGGAAGGAAGGAGGGTTTCTTCACCCCTGCAGGCTGGCGAGCAGGGGTGGGGCTGCCCGGTGGGTCTGATGGGGGCCTCATGCTGCTGCCTCGCCAGGTGCTTCTGATGGCGCATGCCCTGAGGCGCATCCTCTACTCCACCTGGTGCCCTGCCGACTGCCAGTTTGCCTTCGTGGCTCGAAACCCACGCAGCCCAGCCAGCAAGCTCTTCTGTCACCTCTTTGTGGGCAGCCAGCCAGGAGAGGTATCTGGGGCTCGAGGCAGGGGACCACCATGGAGGCCGGAGGGACTGTGTGCCAGGCATCAGGGCGGCTTCCTTGAGGGCTTTGTCAGGGCAGCCTGATCCCCCTCCAGGCATGCACACCTCGCCTCTTTCCGTGGCTCTTCCCACTGAGGACACCACAAAGCAAGTCAGTGGCCTCAGCATTCCCTAGGGTCCAGGGGCGGGAACCTGGCCACGCGCTTGGAGAATGGAGAGTCACACCACTAGGGCTTCGGTCATGCCATTCTGTCTGGCACCCCCCTCCCCTTCTCATCTTGGCACATTCCACTCACTCTTCAGGGCTCAGCCCACATGTCTGAACCCCGCCTTGACTCCTCTGGATGGCCCCTCTCTCTGGGGTCCTGCGACATGAACTGCACGCTACCATCGTCTGCCCTAATTACAGGCACTTGAGTTCTTTGAGAGCAGAGTCTGGGTCCAGGTCTTGAGACAGTGCTTGGCCCAGAGCAGTCGGGGTGGGCAGGTGGATCAGAAAGTCACAGCCAGCCTGGCTGTCGTGAACAACAGAGCCTCAGCAGCGAGGTGTTTGGCAGACAGGCTCTGAGTTTGGTTCTGGCCAGCAACCATTTGCTGTCATCCTGTCTATCCAGGCCCTGTGCTGGGTACTAGGGTGACAGGTGGCTGAGTCATGGTCCTTGATCTGATGCTCACGGGTCTGACACGTTGGGTCTGGATGGTGTGTGTGGCGGGTGGGATGTGCTGCTCCCAACAAGCACTGGGCCTGTGCTGGGAATTTCCTGTGCTCCATTTCACTGACTCCTCAAAGGGGCACAGGGAGGTGGGGAGGAGGAAACCAAGGCACAGAGAGGTGCCATGCTCTACCCAGGGTCCCATAGCCGCTCCTACGTGACAGAGCCAGGATTGGAACTCAAGTTCTGACTTCAGGGCCTGGGCTTTTGGCCCTTCCTGGAAGGGGGTGCTGATGTGGCGTGCAGGGTTGGGGTGGTAAGCCTGGGGGCAGGAGTGCGTGAGCTCATGCTTCCACATTCTCTGCTCCATGCGTGATACCTGGACCACAGAAGGTCCTCACTGTTTGTTAAATAAATAAAGGAAGCTGGTAGGGGAGCCTGCATGGTGGTGAGGTTTTGAAGGGTAAGTAGGAGCTTTCTCAGGAAGAATGGGAAGAGCCTCCAAAGCCAAGGGGCTGCATGCACCCATGGTGAGTGGGCTGAGGCCCAGGGAGACGGAGACTTCCTCCAACTGAGCCCACCTCTGTTCCTCCCTCCCAGGTCCAGATCCTGCACCTGCTCCTATGCCGCTCTTTCCAGCTGGCTTACCTCTTGCAGCACCCTGAGGAGCGGGCACTGCCAGAGCCCTGCCCAGGACCCACAGGGGAGGTGCCCCTAAAGTCACTGTCCAGCTCTGGGGGCCCCCCTGGAGGCCTGGTGCGGGAGCCCTTCGGCCGTGATCAACTCTCTCAGAACGTCCATGCATTGGTCTCTTTCCGGCGGCTGCCAGCAGAGGGGCTGGTGGGCAGTGGGGTACGCAGCACCCCAGCCAAGGAGTGGGCAGTGGACAAGGGAACTGGGTATGGGTTTGGGGGGCATGTCGGGGGCAGGGGCTTCACTTGGCCTGACATGGCTGGACCTGAGTCTGCCTGCCTGTGGGCCCCTTTTGGTGCCCTAGAAGGAGCTGCCAGAGTCGGAAGGCCGCGCCCGCCATGCCCGCCTGGGGAATCCCTACTGCTCGCCCACGCTGGTGCGCAAGAAGGCCATTCGCAGCAAGGTGATCCGCTCGGGGGCCTACCGCGGCTGCACCTATGAGACCCAGCTGCAGCTGTCGGCTCGGGAGGCCTGTGAGTGGTGGGAACTTGCCTGCCCCTGTGTGTACCTGGGACACGTGCCTGTGCGCTCCTGGACCAGCCAGAGGTGGGCGTGAGTGCCCATTCCTGCAAGGCTGTGGCCACACCTCCAAGTGATGCCTGTGCATTGTGTGTGTTTGCCTGCATCCGGGTCTGTGCACAGGGGACTGCGTACAGCTGCATATGGACCAAAACTGGTGGGTGGAAGGCCTGTGTGCGGATGTGTCGGCTGAGCAGGGCAGAGAGGTGATGGGTGATGAGGCCTGCAGCCGTAGGGAATGGGAGGGCTTGGCCACTCTCCTTCTGACTCCTGGATGGTCTCCACAGTTCCTACCGCATGGGAGGCATGGCCCCGGGGTCCTGGTGGCCACTCGTGCCTGGTGGAGAGCGAGGGCAGCCTGACGGAGAACATCTGGGCCTTCGCTGGCATCTCCAGGTAGGAAAGGCCTGGCCTGGCCCGATGCCCAGTCCCTTGGAGTGGACAGAGAAATACGGGCTTCCCAGGCCCCTGAGGCACACACTCCTGTGCAGGGGCAGAGCGCTACCAACCTCGGTGACCTCAGGCCTGGGACTTCACCACCCTGGGCCTCCATTTTCTCTAATGTAAAATGGGGTTAATGAAAGGAGCTTCATCTTAAGTCTGTGGAGAGGGTCAAATGAGGTAATTCGGGTAGAGCCCTCAGCACCTGGCCTGCACAGGGCGAGGCCCCTAAGCGTCAGCTCTTTAAGCCTCTTTCCTGAGAAAATGTTGACGTTGCCAACAATTACAGACCCTGGAGAAACCTTCTAAGCTTCTAAAAACTTCTTTCTGTTGAGCCTGACTCTGAGTCAGGACCCATGTTGGGTTTTTGCTGGGGTTTTTTTTGTTTTTAAATTTCACTTTAGAGACAGGGTCTCATTCCGTCACCCGGGCTGAAGTGCAGTAGCATGGTCATGGCTCACTGCAGCCTTGAACTCCTGGGCTCACGGGATCCTCCTGCCTGGGCCTCCCAAAGTGCTGGGATTATAGGCATAAGGCACCACCAAGTCCAGGCAATGCACTGTGTGTTTAAGGGCATTTAATCCACAGGCTGCCTCGATGCTGCTGGGGTTGTCATGACCATTGCCCAGGAGAGCAGTCCAGCCTTTACCCTCTCCCCACTGTGCCCCTAGGCCCTGTGCCCTGGCCCTGTTGCGGAGAGACGTGCTTGGGGCCTTCCTGCTGTGGCCTGAGCCGGGTGCCAGCGGCCAGTGGTGTCTGTCTGTGCACACCCAGTGCGGCGTGGTGCCCCACCAGGTCTTCCGGAATCACCTGGGCCGCTACTGCCTGGAGGTAAGAGTGCAGCGGCCAGAGGGGCCTGGGCCCCGCCGCATCATTGGCTCCATCCCTGGTCCTTTGTGCCCTCCCTTTTCTAACTGCTGAGGTCCTGAATGCGCCTCACCGCCATCCCTGTCTCTCATTGGCTCTCCCTGGCGTCACTCCTCGTCCAATTCCATCCTGCCTCTACTGTCCTGCTCTTTCCTCATTGGCCCTGCTGGCCTCGCCCCCAGCTGGCCCACTTGGCCCCACCTCTGCTGGCTCCACTCTGTTCTGACCTGAAGGCTCTTGGAGGGGAAGGGAGGTGCCTGGTCACTAAGGGCCCTTCTCTCCGGAGGGGGCTTCGAAGGGTACCTCTAATAAGAGTCTTGAGCTGGAGTCATGTGTAACATTTCTACAGGAATCCTGGCTTTCTCACACCCTAGCCCAAATTAGCAGAGGAGAAAACTGACTCAGAGAGAGCAGGGGCTTGCCTGAGCTCAACAACCTCTGAGTCTCCAGTGTGACGTCTTGTCCTGCCCTCCAGTTTCTAGGGATGGGAGGGGTTTTTCACATGTGTGCCCTTACTTCCAAGCTAAACATCTCAGTCCTACCCAGGCTGGGAAGAGAGAGAGGGAATGGTGCTTGGCTTTGCCACGATAGCACATGTGAAGTCTCTGGGCTTCGTCCCCTGCTCTCTAAAATGGGCAGGTTCCTGTGGGAGGAGGTGGCTGGTGCCTGGCGTGAGCCCTGGGGAAGGGGACTGGAGCTGAAGCCCCTTCCTCCCCTAGCACCTGCCGGCAGAGTTCCCCAGCCTGGAGGCTCTGGTGGAGAACCACGCAGTTACTGAACGCAGCCTCTTCTGTCCCCTCGACATGGGCCGCCTGAACCCCACCTACGAGGAGCAGGACTGTGGGCCCCCGGCCAGGCCGCCCCGGACTCTCCGGCCCCTCAGCCATGCCAAGTCCGAGGCAGAGCTGCAGGGCCTGGGCTAAGAGGTAGGGCCCGGGTCCCACAGGGCCCGCCTCATCCCGGCTCCTGGGCCCCGGCAGTGTCTCTGCCCTTCCTGCACGCCTCTGGTCGCCAGTTCCATCCAGTCACCCTGCCCTTGGAGCAGTCTTCCATCACCTCACTGTCCGTGGGAGGGGAGCCCTGAGGTTGGGTATCACCAGTGGCTTCTCGCAGAACATGTGGGCCGCTGAGATTCCAGGAGGGCAGGTGGAGTTGCAGGTTTTGGGTAACCCATTGGGTGGCTTTGGATGACCCGCTGGGTGGCTTTGGATGCTTTGGGATCCAAAGCTTTGGATGCTTTGGGCTTCCGCTTTACTCCTGGGACAGGAGCTTGTTCACGGCGGAGTCGCGGCCCTCTCCTAAGGAGGCCAGGCCTTGGGGCCCTGACTGGGAGTCTCCAGAAAGCTCATGAGACGAGTGAGGGAGAGGGGTTTGGGGAGGCAGGAGTGAGTTTTCACTCTGGGCAAAGACCTGGAGTGAGCCACTGTGTCTGTGGGAGCAGAGACGACTCTGTGGAGCTGGTGGGCAGGAGGCTGGGGATGACCCCATCTGGGCTGACAGAGCAGGGCTGTTTCTCACATGTATCTGAGAGCGAAGGAGGGGTGGGAAGGTGCAGAGAGGGCAGGAGGGACAGAGAGCGGTGCCAAGCGCTCACGCGTGGGTGGACTCGTGTTGCAGAAAGGGATGCACACCAGCAGATAGGGCCAAGAATCTCCATGCTGTCTCCACTTAAAACCTCAGGGCTGTGACTCCCACTTTCTCCGAAGGGATGCACAGCTCACCCCTTCTCCCTAGGAATCACCAGGGCACCCCCACCCTCAGCTCATCTCCTTTAGCCATTTGATAGGGAGGGGCCAGCAGTGAGCTGCAGGCTTAGAGGGGTAACCAGGGCCCTCCCCAACTCGACCGCATGTGGTTTGGTGGCTGCCTTGGGAGGGAGGCTGTCCGATGCTGACATTCCCCTTAGCATGGCGCTGACCGTGGCTGTCAGGGGCCACCTTGCCTCACCAGGCCAGCCCCACTGGGAATGGGGTCAGTCACAGCAGAACCGTCGAAAGGTGGACCTGATGTGGGCCCTGCCAGGGGCACTTGGCCTCAGCGGGCCATGGGAGACCCAGGGCAGCGACTCTAGTGTGAGGCAGTGGTCCTGCCAGGGACCGACAAACCCAGCTAGCCCTCTTTGTAAGCAAACTTGACAAACATGAATCTACTGAACTCAGTTATAGAACAAGTTCATTTTGCATGAACTTCTCTTATTGAAGCAGAAGCCACGTCATGAGCCTGGGGGCTGCCCTCTCCCCATCTGGGAGTGGGACAGAACTGTTCAGTGCCTTGAAAGTCACAGATTTCTGACTCCTGGAAGGAAGTGGGCAGCCCCACCAGAGCAGAAAGAAGGGAGGCAAACTTGGGAAGTGAGAAGCCAGCCTCCCAGAGGCCCAGGCCTCGTGTTCCCCACCTCCAACCCTCCATCGAGGACAGGGGCTTGGCTTGGGACCTTGTAACTTCCTTGCAAGTTAAGTGAGCTATCCTGTCACAAAAGATAGAAGGAACTGCCCTTTGGGACTTCTTTATGTTGAGTGTGAGTGGGAAGCTGGGACTCTGCTTTACAGCCATCTGTGCTGGAGCCATCCCCTTCCTGGACCAACCACTGGTCTCTATGGGAGGCCCCAGCCTCACATTTCCCTGGCAAGGAGAGAGAGGTTTAGCGATGTCCTGGGCCCAGGATTATAGCCCAGAGATGGGCAGTTAAGGAGACCTGGTCATTGGTCCAGACTTGGGCCAAGGCTCTCCTCTGTGAGGGATGGGTTTTACTGGTGAATTACCTGTGTGGAGAAGCTATCAGGGCCATGTTTAGCACACTGAAGGGACCAGTCTCCACCAAGCACTTTAACATCCCTCCAGCCAGCATTGATTGATCTCATGTTACAAAGAGGGCAAGGTTTTTGGCCCCTGTTTGCAGACTCCATGTCTTAATCAGAGACCACAGTTTTCTCTTTGTTCCAATCAGCGCCACCTCGGTAGCCCCGCTTTCCTTGCTGTGTGGATTTGAAACAAAATAAAATGTGTTGCTTCGGATTATCTGCTACAGACTTTTCTTTCCTTCGAAAGGTGAGGTTTTGTCCAGTTTCCCTATTTCGTTTTTGCCAAACATACCTTCAGCTGGTGCTGAATGGTGAACCAGAAGCCCTGTCCTCAAGGGCTCAGAAGGAATTGCTCAGGGAGACTCAATCAGATTACGTTCCTCTTCTGCTGTAACTTTCAGTGGATATGTCTATAGGAAAAAGACTCAGGTCCTTCTGCACTGGCAACCCGGGCTTGCTTTCTGCTTCTGCAGTGTGCCACAGGACCTCCGCACAGCCCAGACCGGCATCCTCCACCTCCTCCCTTCCCTTCACCTTGTTAACCACTCAGCCATCATATTTCAGCTCCAGTCAACCTCAAGATGCCTGTCCTATGCCCTGGGCTGAGTGAGGTTCCTTTTTTAGATGTTCCATGGGCTGGGTGCAGTGTTTCGTGCCTGTAATCACAGCACTTTGAGAGGCCGAGGTGAGAGGATTGTTTGAGCCCAGAAATTGGAGACCAACCTGGGCAACAAAATGAGATCCCATCTCTACAAAAAATTAGCCACTCGGGAGGCTGAGGTAGGAGGATCTCTTGAGACCGTGAGGTTGAGGCAGCAGTGAGCTATGATTGCACTCCAGCCTGGGTGACAGGGTAAGACCCTGTCTCAAAAAAAATACGTTGCATGGAACTGATTATTCAGTTTTTAATTACATTTTCGTTTAAGGGATTTTGTTGGTGGGATTTTGTTTCCTGTGTCTCTCTCTCCAGCTAGATCATGGGCCAGGAGGGCTGTCTCCCAGTATCTGTCACGGTGCCTGACATGGAGCTGACACTCAGTGTTGCAGTGCAAGGAAGAGCCCAGAGGTGTGACAGAGGTGCTCTTCTGGCTGGGGAACTTGCGCTGAGCCAGGAGGGATAGGCCAGGCAGCGTTCCATCCAAAAGACTTGGTTTTTTTTTTTTTTGAGATGGAATTTTGCTCTTTTTGCCCAGGCTGGAGTGCAATGGTGCAATCTCAGCTCACTGCAACTGCAACCTCTACCCCCCGTGTTCAAGTGATTCTCCCGCCTTAGCTTCCTGAGTAGCTGGGATTACAGGTGCCTATCACCAGAGATGGGGGTTTCACCATGTTAGCCAGGCTGGTCTCGAACTCCTGATGTCAGGTGATCCAACCGCCTTGGCCTCCAAAAGCGCTGGGATTACAGACGTGAGCCACCGCGCCCGGCCCAAAAGACTTGGCTTCTAAAGTGTTTGTTTTACAATCTCGGGTCTTAGAAATAACAAGGGTGGCATGAGAGGAAGCTGTCCAGGGGCTGTGGATTGTGGGCAGCCTTCCCCTGAGCCAGTACGAGGACGTGGATAAGGGGCAACAGGTCCTTGCCGCTGTTCTCAGTTAGGTCCCTGGCCCGTGCCTAAGGCCTGGGATCTATCTAGGCCGGGAGCCCCAGTCTTAACCGCAGCCTCGGCAAGCTGCGCAACATCTCTGAACTGGGGCTGTGCGGATTCGAGAAGACAGCAGACGCGAAAGGAGCCCAGCCAGGACTGGTGCTTCCCGCAAGTGGCCGCGCGGGGCTGCCCAGGGATTACTCTGGCGAAGCTGGCGGGCCAGGCCAGGCGTTCCCGGGGCCCCTCCTGTGACGCCACGGGCGTTGCCCAGCAACCGCGAACGCCGAGGTGGCGAGCGTGCCGGCGGGCGGCTGGGGAGGCTCCGGGCTGAGGTTCTGCGGCGGCGCCTGCAGCGCGGATCCCCCACGTCCCCGCTCGGGCCGGGCCTCAGAAACGGGCGAGCCTGGGCGCGGGAGGAGGCGGCGGCCCCGGCTCGGGTCTTGTGACTCCCCGCTCCCCTCGGGGCGCCCCACAAGGAGTCCCCGCCCCCCGCCGCGGCCCCGCCCCCGCCGCAAGGCCCCGCCCCCCGTGGCTGGCGCTGGCCCCACCCCTTGGCCCGGGCTGCTGGGGGTCCCCGGCGGGGCGGGGGTCGGCTCTGGTCCCGGTGGTCCTGGGCGCGGCGCCATGGCTTCCGAAGCGGTGAAGGTTGTCGTGCGCTGCCGCCCCATGAACCAACGGGAGCGGGAGCTGCGCTGCCAGCCCGTGGTGACTGTGGACTGCGCTCGCGGCCAGTGCTGCATCCAGAACCCGGGCGCCGCAGACGAGCCGCCCAAGCAGTTCACCTTCGACGGCGCCTACCACGTGGACCACGTCACCGAGCAGATCTACAACGAGATCGCCTACCCGCTGGTGGAGGTGAGGGCGCGGGACAGGCCGCCCTCCAGGCCGCAGGGCATGGGGCCGACCCGGGGGTACCCAGGGGGCGGCGCTGCCCCCCAGCCAGGCGGAAAGGCCCTCGAGGGGCGCAGGCAGACGGGAACAGGTAGGTCCAGAGGCTTTTGTCCAGGCGGGACACAACCAGAGCCTGCCTCTAGTGTCGCCTCCAGGTCTGCACTGTCCCCAGCGCCTCCGCCTCCTGGGTTCAAGCGATTCTCGTTCCTCAGCCTCCCAAGTAGCTGGGATTACAGGTACTTGCCACCACGCCCGTCTGATTTTTGTGTTTTTAGTAGAGATGGGGTTTCACCATGTTGGCCAGGCTGTTCTCAAACTCCTGACCTCAAGTGATCCGCCCGCCAAGTGCTGGGATCACAGGCATTAGTCACCGGATCTGGCAAAATGGTGACTTTTCATCTTCCCTCACTGGCAAGTCGGGGCACACCCAGCCCTGTTTTGGTTACAGCATGGGTCTTTGCAGTGGAACCGGGCATAGATGCCATGTGGGCCCTTGGGGCCTCAGAGCAGTTCTCTGGGATGATCTGCCCACACAGGATCCACCCCAAGCCCACATTAAGGTCTAGAATTTGCAAGCCCATGAGCTCTGCAAGGACAGGATCTATGTCTACCTGGTTCACCACTTTGTCCCTAGGCTGAGCATAGTCCCTGTCGAATGAATAGAAACAGCGATGAACGAAGGATGACTTTGGGAACGGCACCGGGTTTGCCTCCTCTCTTCCTTCTAGGCCTCATCTTCCACCCCTCCCCCAGTACCTCCTGCTCTTCACACCTCACCTGTGTGGCTTTATTCAAGCTGTCCTCTCAGCCTGGAATGCCTTCCTCTTCCTGTCACCTGCCCAGTTCTCCCTGTCTTTGCCGCCTGGAAAGCTGTGCTTTGTTCTTCCTGCACTATTCTGTTTTCACTTCTTTGTACTCCCCATTCCTGCTGGCTGCCTGGACTCTTGTCTCTGTGCTCCTGCTCCATAGCCCGCCATGAGAATCACCTGTACGTGTCCAGCTCCCTCCATTGCAAGCGGACATTGGGCGATCACCTGTGTATGGCGGTGCTTCCTGTGCCAATGCACGAAAGAATCCCCATATGCACGCTGCAGGAGCCTCGCAGGTGCTATTCTTACTCTTTAAGATGTTGATCCTTTTTTTTTTTTTGAGATGGAATCTCACTCTGTCGCCCAGGCTGGAGTGCAGTGGCGCGATCTTGGCTTACTGCAAACTCCGCCTCCTGGGTTTACGCCATCTCCTGCCTCAGCCTCCAGAGTAGCTGGAACTACAGGCACCCGCCACCACGCCTGGCTAATTTTTTGTATTTTTTAGTAAAGATGGGGTTTCACCGTGTTAGCCAGGATGGTCTCTATCTCCTGACCTGGTGATCCGCCTGCCTCGGCCTCCCAAAGTGTTGGAATTACAGGTGTGAGCCACGGCGCCCGGCCGCTCTTTTTTTATTTGTTTGGATGGAGTCTCACTGTCCCCCGGGCTGGAGTGCAGTGGCACGATCTCGGCTCACTGCAATCTCCCTGGTTCAATAAATTATCCTGCCTCAGCCTCCTGAGTAGCTGGGACTGCAGGAGCTCACCACCACACCCAGCTAATTTTTCATATTTTTAGTAGAGACAGGGTTTCACCGTGTTGCCCAGGCTGGTCTCAAACTCCTGACCTCAGGTAATCTGCCTGCCTCAGCCTTCCAAAGTGCTAGGATTACAAGCGTGAGCCACCCCGCCTGGCCTAAGGTGTTATTCTTACCATCTTATCAATGTGCCTCAGTAAGGCCAGCCCAAGGGCACACAGTAAAGGTGGAGATGGATGTGAGCCCACAGCGCAGGCTCTTCCCCACCCACACACAGGGACAGCTTCTACCCCACCAGACAGTCAGCTCCTTGAGGACAGAGCTGGGCCTTGTTTATCTCCACACTCCAGTGCCATTGTTGGGTGGGGGGACCGGGAAGGGCCCTGAGTCTATGAGTTAGGGAGCCCTGTCCCGAGCCCTGCTGTGCCTGGTCCGCTGATCACGGGGTCCTGGCCTCCTCCCACTCAGGGCGTCACTGAGGGCTACAATGGCACCATCTTTGCCTACGGCCAGACAGGCAGTGGGAAGTCCTTCACCATGCAGGGCCTGCCGGATCCACCCTCCCAGAGAGGCATCATCCCCAGGGCCTTCGAGCACGTGTTCGAGAGCGTCCAGGTACGGGCCTCGTGGAGGGAAGGGGCAGGGCCAGAGCTGTAGCTGGGCCCCAGAGCACTTCTGACAGGTGGCAGGGACACGGGAAGTGTTCAGAGTCCGGCCTGACCCCGTGCAGGTGAGCAGGGAAGGCTCCAGGTTCTGAAAAGGTGGTGGGAAAAAAACTTAAAACAGAAAATTCTGTCCGTGCTTTTCTCGTGTCATTTTTGGCTTCTAACCCTTAGTGGAGCATTTCCTGTGGATCTGCTGACCCTGTGCACTGGGCCAGGAAGTGGTTGTAACAATCACAGCTTCCCTCTTATTGAGCAATTGTTATGGACCAAGTCGTATGTGAAGCCCTTGGCATCCTTATCTCACTGAATCTCCAGCCTGACCAGCCTGACCCAGGAGGTAGCTGATAACCCCATTTTTGAGATAGGGAGGTTGAGACTGAGCCTTTATGGGCCAGGCTGAGACTGGACTCTGAATTCATCCCAGCATCCAGGCTGCAGGTGAGAATTACCTGGCGACCATTTGTGGCAGTGCATGGGGAATGGCGGATGGGGACGACCCTGGTCAGCTGCAGAACCCACTGTGCCGCTCCCAGGACTCATCATGGTAGCCAGAGCAATATGTAGGGCCTCGGAGAGCTGCCAGGGACCAGCCCAGAGCCAGTGTTTGGCCCAGGCCTTCCCTGTGGCCTCAGATTTTTGTTGGATTGTTGTTGTTTTTTGAGACAGAGTCTTGCTCTGTCACCCAGGCTGGAGTATAATGGCATGATCTTGGCTCACTGTAACCTCTGCCTCCCAGATTCAAGCAATTCTCCTGCCTTAGCCTCCCAAGTAGCTGAGATTACAGGCGCCCATCACCACATCCGGCTAATTTTTGTACTTTTAGTAGAGATGGGGTTTCGCCGTGTTGGCCAGGTTGGGTCTTGAACTCCCGGCCTCAAGTGATTCGCCGGCCTTGGCCTCCCAAAGTGTTGGGATTACAGGCGTGAGCCACCACGCCCAGCCAGGGTTTTGGTTTTTGTTTTTGTTTTTGAGACGGAGTCTTGCTCTTTCGCTCAGGCTGGAGTGCAATGGAACAATCTTGGCTCACTGCAGCCTCTGCCTCCCTGGTTCAAGCAATTCTCCTGCCTCAGCCTCCTAAGTAGCTGGGATTACAGGTGTCTGCTACCACGCCTGGCTAATTTTTGTATTTTTAATAGAGATGAGGTTTCGTCATGTTGGTCAGGCTGGTCTTGAACTCCTGACCTCAGGTGATCCACCCACGTAGGCCTCCGAAAGCACTGGGATTACAGGCGTGAGCAGCGCCCGGCCCTGTTTTTTTGTTTGTTTGTTTGTGGTTTTTTTTACCCTGAATAATGGGGAGGCCTGTTTCCTTTCCCATGAGGACTGTAGACAGAGCATTAGACAGCAATATGAAGATAATACAACTCAAAGAGGCCTGGGCACCCACCAAGCTGGAGACGAGGAGAGAGCTTGCCAGGAGGGCTGGCAGGGTGGGTTGGGTTGGAGACTCCTCTTGCCCCGACGTTCCTTCTCCTCCCATGATGTCCTGGTGGCAGAGGGCCCAGGGCCCAGGGCCCAGGGCCAAGCCTGGCAGCAGGTGGCCTTGGAGCTCTGATGTCTGGGTTCTTTCTGTGTACTCCCTGCAGTGTGCAGAGAACACCAAGTTCCTGGTCCGGGCCTCCTACCTGGAGATCTACAATGAAGATGTGCGGGACCTCCTGGGGACTGACACCAAGCAGAAGCTGGAGGTGGGCACAGACCCAGTGTGGGCAGGTGGGGCTGATAGGGGGGAGGTTGGCATTGGTGCTGCTCCCTCAGAAATATGGGAAAGTGTCCTGAGGGTGCCGACACTGGGACACTGAAGTCGGGACTTTTTTTTTTTTTAAATAAAAAAATTTTTTAGGCAGGGCGTGGTATCTCTTGCCCATAATCCTAACACTTTGGGAGGCCGAGGTGGGCGGATCATTTGAGGTCAGGAGTTCGAGACCAGCCTGGACAACATGGTGAAAACTCATCTCTACTAAAAATACAAAAACTAGCCGGGCGTGGTGGTGCACGTCCGTAGTTCCAGCTACTGGGGAGGCTGAGGCAGGAGAATCACTTGAACCCAGGAGGTAGGGGTTGCAGTGAGCTGAGATTGTGCCACTGCACTCCAGCCTGGGCAACGCAGCGAGACCATTTTGAGACAGAGTCTCGCTGCGTTGCCCAGGCTGGCCTCGAACTCCTGGCCTTGAGCCTTCTACCTCAGCGCCCCCAGTAGCTGGGACTGCAGGCATGTATCACCACATGCACCCAGCCACTTGGTGTTTTTTATGCGGGAGCCTCCAGCCTCCCACCTAGAGTTTTTCTACCGCGTTCTCTCTCCTAGTGCAGCTTAATCATAGCTCAGCCCCCAGACAGGGAATCAAAGACAGGAGGCAACACAGGGTGTTGTTCCCACATGTCAGTCCCAGAAGGCCAGCCTGTGGGGTTAGGGCACTCTGGCCCCCTGCAAACCTTCTGCTAACCTGCACTGGAGCAGCAGGGAGCCCTCCTCCCCCTCCTCACTACCCTGGACCCTAGAAAGGCCTCAGTTACCCGGGCTTAGAGGGGCCAAAGGCTGGCAGCTACGCACACTTGTTGCAGCTGAGCCATGGACCTCAGGCCTATTGAACCAGCTGCCTTGGGGGCTGCAGTGACAGATGCGCTCTCTGAAACACACTCCAGGGGCCACCAGGCTTTAGACACACTCCCTCGAGGAGGATGTGCAGATGGCTTTCATGTAAACCTCCTGGAAGTCCAGGAGGAGGCACCGTTCTAATCCCTTATAACAACAGATGAGGAAACTGAGGCTCCATGTGCCTAAGTAAGACCAGCCCAAGGACGCACAGTCGATAAAGAGTGGCGATGGGATTTGAATCCGGGAACTCCACAGCACACACTGTTAACCCCTGTTTAACAGAGGCCCAATCGTAGTTATAATCAGAGGTTATTACATCACTTAAGGCCAGCAAGAGGTTTGGGGAAGTAGAGTTCTGTGCCCTCCCCCTAGCCACTGTAAACTACCATCCCAGAACCCAGCCCTGTACTGCCTGATATGGTGAGGTCTGAGGGGGCCTCTCCAGCGAGTTCTCCCCACCCATGTCCCGGCAAAGTGTCAAGGGCTCCCCTCCCCGTGGCAGCGATGGACACGTTCCTGCCATGCTCCCCTCTCTCATCCTTGCCGCATCCCAGCTGGTTGCCATGGTGACCCAGCTCTGGCCTCCGCAGCAGAGATGAGCAGTTACCAAGGAGCCTGGTGCGCAGCTGGGGGCTGTCACTCAGCGCCTCCCCAGGCGTCGGGGGTGGAGTGAGGTTGGGAGTGCAGTGGGGGGAGGACCCCTGAGGCCATCATAAGTTTGGGAGCAGGGAGCCTTCCTGGGCTGGAAAATCTCGTGGCAGGAGACCTCTTGGGTGAGGGGTTGTCTCCTCAGGTTGCTCAGGCCCGAGATGGCGACCTCATCCTTTTTGTAACTGACCCCTGCTGAGTACCCACAGAACTTTTTTTTAGATCTGTTCTCTTCCTAATCCTCATAATAATCTTGTAGAAATAGGAGTTATCATCCCCATTTTACGGAAGAGAAAATTGAGACCTAGAGAGGCAAATTAACCTCCCCAACCAGCAAGTCACAGAACGGGGTGCCCTCCGGCCACACGCAGCTGCGTCCTCTGAGCTCCCTCCTCACAGCTGCCACCTGGGCCAAGACCTGCCTTCTGTCATCTCAAGCTTCAGCCACTGCAGGATGCTCCGGCCTGTGTCTGTGCCCTGCCCCCCGGAGCCTTCCATCGGCTGTGACCCCACTAACAGCTGTGACCTTCACCTTCTCCTTTCTGGGTGTCAGTTACTCATCTATTCCATGAAGCCCAGTCCCTTGGTGGGGCTTGGCTGTTTTTCCACGCTTCAGCAGATAGGACCACCCCTGACCCCCTCCCACAGCAGGGGCCTGAGCCCACCTGGGACCCCCCTAAAGCTGCTGGGAGCAAAGCCGCTGAGCCTCCTGTGGCTCTGACCCACAGGACCACTTGGCAGACTAATGCCTTTTGTCCTCATTCATTCTGCTCTTGTGCCAGAGTGGTTTTATTTCCTCTCACACTTGGAAAATACTGCATTTCACAGCTCTGTGTCTGCAACAAAATGACTTTGCTGCCTGGAAAACCAGCAGGGAGCCAGCAGATAAATTAACTTACTGCTGCCATCGCCCTGAGGGCTGGGGGCCTCCGGGCTGTGAGCCTGTGGGGTTCTGGGCAGCTAGTGGCCTCACCTGTGATCTGAGGGTTTGGGAATATTCCTGTTGTTCTAGAGCCACGGCGGAGGGGATATAGAGCCCTAGCAACAGCGCGAAAGGAGACAGCACTCGGGGCTCATGGGTGGCAACAGGCACAGCTCCTGGGATCTGAAGCTCCCTGATGGAAAACCACCTTTGCAATCATAGCACTAACAACAACAGCACAGACAGTGGCTGGCATCTATGGGGCACTTAGGTGCTGGCACCATGCTAAGCATTGTATGTGCCTTATTTTATGGATTCCTCCCCATATCCCTGTGAGATAGCTGTCTCATGCCCATTTTACAGATGTGGAAACTGAGGCTTAGGTTGTCACTGGCTGAAGGTCCCCCAGCAAGTAGGAGGCAGGGGTAGGTCTGAGGCTGGCTGAGCCTGGAATGCAACCCTCCCTATGACAGGCGTGTGAGGTGCCAGCCTGCACTGCAGGAGGGCAAGGGCGGTCCGCATGAGACCCTTCTCTCTGGTTCCTTGACCATCCCTGGTCCTAACCCTTGGAGGCTGGAGGTTCTACCCCTGACCCGTTTCTCCTCCCTCAGCTGAAGGAGCACCCAGAGAAGGGCGTGTACGTGAAGGGGCTGTCCATGCACACGGTGCACAGCGTGGCCCAGTGTGAGCACATCATGGAGACCGGCTGGAAGAACCGCTCAGTCGGCTACACGCTGATGAACAAGGATTCCTCACGCTCCCACTCCATCTTCACCATCAGCATCGAGATGTCTGCTGTGGGTATGCGAGCTGCTGCGGTGGGGGCGGGGGGACAGATGACCCAGCCACACTTCCACTCCCACTAGCCAAGGCGTGCCACCTCTCGGGGTCGCAAGAACCCCTGGAAAGTGGGAAGAGATGCTCTAACAGCCTGGAGGAAACCCAAGAGGATCCTTGGGATGCTGGGACCGTGTTCCCAGGATAAACAGCAGCAACGACAGTAACGCTGGGAGCCAACATTGAGCACTTACTGTGTGCCAGACAATTTTATTTATTTTCTTGTTTTTTGAGACAAGGTCTTACTCTGTCACTCAGGCTGGAGTGCAGTGGTGATCTCGGCTCACTGCAACCTCTGCCTCCCAGGCTCGGGTGATCCTCCCACCTCAGCCTCCTGAGCAGCTGGAACTACAGGTAAACCACCACGCCTGGCTAATTTTTTGTAGAGATAGGATCTTGCTATGTTGCCCAGGTTGGTCTTGAACTCCTGAGCTCAAGCAATCCTCCCGCCTTGGCCTCCCAACGTGCTAGGATTGCAGGTGTGAGCCACTGCACTTAGCCATATGCCAGGTAATGTGTGTGCATTGTCTCACTTACTCCTACAGCACTCCCATGAGGTGGATACTGAATCGTCCCCATTTTACAGATGAAGAAATCGAGGTCACACAACTAGGAACTAGCGACAGAGCCCGGCTTCTATCCCGGGGTCTTCCTCTGGAGTGTGTCACTCCAACCCTGTGGATTCTCCTCTCTCTCTCTAACATTCTCTACTCCTCAGTCATCTCATTATTGTTTTTTTCTGGAAGAGCTGCTGAGAAAGCGAAGAGGAAGGAAAGAAACCCATGTTTATTTGGGGGCCCCTATTGGCCATCTACAGTGCCAAACTCTTTATACCTTTCATTCCATTTAGAGACAGGCACTAGAATCCTCATGTTATAGATGAGGAAACAGAGACTCTGAGAGGGAAAGTGATTTGCTTGTTCAAGTTCTTACTGCCGCTAACTGGTGGAGCTGGGATTTGAACCCGGGTCTCCTTGATGTCTGGGTTTTCCCATGAATACTGCAGCTGCCTCCAAGTTGTGGTCCATCATGACTAGAACTCCAAAGAGCAGTGGGGCAGGAGGTGGCCTCAGCCCAACTGGGAACATAATTCTGGAGAGATCCCTGACCCAGGGATCAGGGTCAGGAATTAGCTGGGTGTGATGGTGCATGCCTATAGTCCCAGCTACTTGGGAGGCTGAGGTGAGAGGACTGGTTGAGCCTGGGAGACCGAGGTTGCAGTGATCTGAGATCGCACCACTGCACTACCCAGGGTCAAGGCCTGGGTAGATGGAACCTCCCAGACATATTGCCCAGCCGGTGTGGTGACCTGGCCTTGGGCCAAGCCCCAGTGCTTGCTTGGGTATGAGGCCATGAGTCCCAGCGTCCTGGGGGTGCTGATATGGGGAAGGCTGGGACCAGCGTGGTCACAGCCTCAATGCTGCAGCTTGGGGAGGCGCAGAGACCAGGGCAACTGAGAACAGATCAGGAGGGAGGAGGGGGGAGCGGGTTTGGGGGGCACCTCTTGGTCTTTGCAGGAAGGTTTGAAGGATGAGGCAGGCTGGTTGCACATTCACCTTATAAAATAATGTGAGCTCAGTGATGATGGTAAGAAAGTAGGGAACGGTAGGGAACAGTTACTCATAGTTCTGACACCTAAACACTAACATTTAAGCATTATATAATAATTATTTATATTTATAATATAATTCTTTGTATCATGTTTATTTATATATAAATATACAATATATATACACACACATATATACACATTGGTTTTGTTTGTTTGTTTGTTTTTTGAGACAGCTCTGTTGCCCAGGCTGGAGTGCAGTGGTGTAATCTCAGATCACTGCAACCTTGGTCTCCCAGGCTCAACCAATCCTCCCACCTTAGCCTCCCAAGTAGCTTGGAACTACAGGCACGCACCAGCACACCCAGCTAATTTTTATGTTTTGTAGCAACAGGATCTTGCCATGTTGCCCAGGCTGGTCTCGAGCTCCTGGACTCAAGCAATCCACCTCAGCCTCCCAAACTGCTGGGATTACAGGCATGAGCCACTGCACCCAGCCCATATTTTCTTTTGATCCTTTTTTTTCCTATGAATGTTTTAAACACAACTGAAATCTTATGCCATGGTTTCCCCTGGTTTCATCTCCCTTGCCATCACTAAGCATTTCTGCATGTTACTGTCACCGTGTCTTCATGACCATATGTGGTGGCCTGGCTCATGCCCTTTTCCAACCAGTCCTTGATCAGTGGTTTCCAGTTTCCCAGTGCTGGAAGTCATGCCATGATGGACATCTGTGTGCACAAAGCTTTTTCTCCTCTGAGAGTCATTTCCTCAGACTCGGTTCCCTGGAAGGGAGTTCCTGGAGCAAAGATAACACACGTGGTTAAGGCTCCTGTTCCGTTCTGCAAAGAACTTCCCAAAGGGGCAGCACCAGGTTCCTTCCTGTCCTTTTTTTAGAGACAGGGTCTCACTCTGCCACGCAGGCTGGAGTGCAGTGGTGCAATCATAGCTCACTGTAGCCTTGAACTTCTGGGCTCAAGCATTCCTCCCATCTCAGCCTCCTGAGTAGCTGGGACCACAGGCACACGACACTACACACCCAGCTGTTTTTGGTGTGGTTTTTTTTGTTTTGTTTTCTTTTTTTTTTTTTCTGAGACAGGGTTTTATTTTGTTGCCCAGGCTAGAATGCAGTGGCATGATCACAGCTCACTGCAACCTTAACCTCCTAGGCTCAGGTGATAGCCTCTGAAATAGCTGAGACCACAGGCATGCACCACCACACGCGGCTAATTTTTTTTTTTTTTTGAGACAGAGTCTCGCTCTGTCACCCAGGCTGGAGTGCAATGGTGCAATCTTGGCTCACTGCAAACTCCGCCTCCCAGGTTCACACCATTCTCCTGCGTCAGCCTCCCGAGTAGCTGGGACTACAGGCGCCCGCCACCACGCCCGGCTAATTTTTTGTATTTTTAGTAGAGACAGGGTTTCACTGTGTTAGCCAGGATGGTCTCGATCTTCTGACCTCATGATCCGTTAGCCAGGATGGTCTCGATCTTCTGACCTCATGATCCACCCGCCTCGGCCTCCCAAAGTGCTGGGATTAGCAGGTGTGAGCCACCGCGCCGCGCCCGGCTAGTTTTTTTTTTTTTTTTTGCAAAGAAGGGGTTTCACCATGTTGCCCAGGCTGGTCTCGAACTCCTGGGATCAAGCAATCCGCCCATCTCCCAAAGTTCTGGGATTACAGGTGTGAGCTGCTGCCGCTGGCCTGTTGTTGTTGTTTTTGAGACAGAGTCTTGCTCTGTCGCCCAGGCTGAAGTGCAGTGTCACAATCTTGGCTCACTGCAACCTTCACCTCCCAGGTTCAAGCAATTCTTGTGCCTCAGCCTCCCGAGTACCTGGGATTACAGGCATGTGCCACCATGCCTGGCTAATTTTTGTATTTTTAGTAGATACAAGGTTTCACCATGTTGGCCAGGTTGGTCTTGAACTCCTGACCTCAGGTGATCCACCCGCCTTGGCCTCCCAAAGTGCTGAGATTACAGGCGTGAGCCACCACACCCAGCCTGTTGTTGTTTTTTAATAGCCTAAAGAACCAGCTGGCTATGAATGCGCTGTTTACTTCTCCAGACCACCAACCTGTCAACTGAAGAAAAATCAACAAGGCTGGGCACAGTGGCTCATGCCTGTAATCCCAGCACTTTGAGAGGCCAAGGCAGGAGGATCACTTGAGGCCAGCAGTTTCAGACCAGCCTGGGCAACACAGGGACACCCAATCTCTAGAAAGAAAGAAATTAGCCAGGTGTGGTGATGTACGCCTTCAGTCCCAGGTACTCGGGAGACTGAAGCAGGAGGATTGCTTGAGCCTGGGAGTTCGAGGCTGTATTGAGCTAGGATTGCACCACTGCACTCCAGTCTGGGCAACAGAGTGAGATCCTGTCCCAAAGGCAAAAAAAAAAAAAAAAAAAAAAAAAAAAAAAAAAAAAGGCCAGGCGCAGTGGCTCAAGCCTGTAATCCCAGCACTTTGGGAGGCTGAGACGGGCGGATCACGAGGTCAGGAGATCGAGACCATCCTGGCAAACACAGTGAAACCCCGTCTCTACTAAAAACTACAAAAAAAACTAGCCGGGCGAGGTGGCAGGCACCTGTAGTCCCAGCTACTCGGGAGGCTGAGGCAGGAGAATGGGGTAAACCCGGGAGGCGGAGCTTGCAGTGAGCTGAGATCCGGCCACTGCACTCCAGCCTGGGTGACAGAGCGAGACTCCGTCTCAAAAAAAAAAAAAAAGAGACATCCTACTGAGGATAATAGACTGGGGCCTGCAGCCCAGAGCGGCTCTGTCAGTATTTCAGGTCACAGTTTATATACAGGTGGTGAAGGCAGCACCTGCAGAATCGCATCTGACTTGCTCAGAATCACATCAAGGTTTGGGTGCAAGAGCACATCTGGTGACAGATTCCAGAGACTTCCTCACAAACCCCGGCAGACATTATCTCATGTGTAGGAAGAGGCATGGCCTAGGGTCTGTCTTTAAGTGAGGTGGTGATTCAGCCAGAGACATGGGGAGCTGTAGACTCCATTCCATTTTGTCTTCAAAGCATATCTGCGGAGCTCTGCACAGCTCTGCACGTTGGCACAGAGGCAGCGGCTTTGCGAGCTGATTATGCTGGCAAGTGGAAAAGAGCAAATGTGGCTTCTAACATCTGCTGCTTTGTCTCACAAACCCTAATGGGGTCTCATTTTGTTGATGTGGGGAATTGAGAATCTGGGAGATAGGTGGCTCTGCTACTGCCACACAGCAAGGAGATGACAGGACTGGGTTGGGAACCGGGTCTGGGAGTCTCCAAAGCAGATGTTTTCTGTGTTGAATGATATAACTCCCTGGCGATGCAGCCACACCCCTGCCCTTCTCCACCTGTGACCTTGTAGGAAGCCTTCGGGAGCTGCTGTGGCAGCCAGAGGCCCTGTTGCACTCAGAATGGTCTCCAACTCCAGCCCCTGCTCCTGGAGACAGCGCCCTGGGTTCTGATGGTGGCTATAGTGTTTAGCAGCTGTGTGACCTTGGGCAAGTTCCATGCCCTCTCTAAGCCTCAGTTTACCCATCTGTAAGATGAGCCCAATCATAGCACCTGCTTCCTGGGGCTCCTGTGCAGCTGAGGGGAAACCCTTGGTGGGCAGGCATTGAGCACCCAGTGCCTGGCACTGATTGCCCTCGATACATAGGGCTCACCCAAGGCCCTCGTCCCTCTGCCTGGTCTGTCTGCAGATGAGCGGGGCAAGGACCACCTCCGGGCGGGCAAGCTGAACCTGGTGGACCTGGCGGGCAGCGAGCGGCAGTCCAAGACCGGGGCCACAGGCGAGCGGCTCAAGGAGGCCACCAAGATCAACCTGTCGCTGTCGGCACTGGGCAACGTCATCTCGGCGCTGGTGGACGGGCGCTGTAAGCACATCCCCTACCGTGACTCGAAGCTGACGCGGCTGCTGCAGGATTCACTGGGCGGCAACACCAAGACGCTGATGGTGGCCTGCCTGTCGCCTGCGGACAACAACTACGATGAGACACTCAGCACGCTGCGCTACGCCAACCGGGCCAAGAACATCAGGAACAAGCCGCGCATCAACGAGGACCCCAAGGATGCGCTGCTTCGCGAGTACCAGGAGGAGATCAAGAAGCTCAAGGCCATCCTGACGCAGCAGATGAGTCCCAGCAGCCTGTCAGGTGGGACCACGTTGGGGTAGTGGCGGGAGGGCCGGGTCCCCAGGAGAAAACTTCCTCCCCTCTGTTTTCTCGCCTCCAACTTCCCATCTAAAAGACGGTGGGAGCGGCATCCTCCCGCCCCTCAGCCCCATGTGAGCGCAGGGCCCTGGTTGGAGATGGCCCAGATGGTATCTGCTTGTCAGTGCCCTGGGAGGAGGGCAGTCCGTCTGACCTGTCCCGTCTGATGCAGGCTGTCACCCACTCCCTGCCTCTGATCTGCTCATCCATTATCCCTACCCCACTCCCACCCCCCCGTCTGCTGCTGTCCGTGGCATTGTCGCAATGCGTGTTCGCTGCTCAGCGGCTGGCAACTCGCTCCCCACAGCCACATCTGCTCTTCACGGGCACCTCGTTATAGCAGCTTGTGCGCCCCGGCCTTTGCCTGTCACCTGGCAGGTGGAAATCCACACCTGGAGCATTGGCCTAAAGGGGCTTTGGAACTGAAGGAGTCTTAAGATTTTTTTATCTCAGAAGCTCTTGGGGAAGGGAACACAAAAAAGCTTGTGTCTATCTGTCCATTCATCCCCCTCCCACCCACCTTCCTCTCCATCCGTTCATTCTACACACACCCGTTCACCTACCCACTCATCCACCCATCTGCCCATCCTCCCATTTACCCATTCATCCACCCACCTTTTCGTCCACCTACCCACCTTCCTACCCACCCCATTATTTATCCATCTGCACAGTCACCCATCCACCCATCCACTCACCCACCTATACATCTACCATCCATCCATCCATCCATTGATCCTTCCATCCTTCCATCTACCCATCCCTCCCTCCATTCCATCAATCCATTTCTTCCTTCCATCCATCCATCTACACAGCCACCCACCCACCCATCCATTCATCCATCAATGCATTCACTGACCCTTCCTTCCTTTCTTCCATCCATTCATCTGTCATCCATCCATGCATCCATTCATCCATTGATCCTTCCTTCCATCCATTTGTCCATGCATCCATCCATTCATCAGTCTTCCTTTCATCCACTGATCTATTCATCCAGAGATCCTTTCTTCCTTTCTTCCTTCCATCCTTCCATCTCCCATCCATCTATCCATCCATCCACCCACTCATCCATTCATCCATCCATCTCCATCCTTCCTTCTATTTACCCACCTACCCATCTTCCATTCATTTTATCTACCCATCCATTCACCCATTCTAATTACCCACCCCATCCACCCTATCATCCATATATCCACCCATTCATTCACTCCATCCTATCATCCATTCTTTTATCTATTTTTCCACTCACCTGCCCATCCATCCATTCAAGATTCCCTGAGCTGCTCCTCTGTGTGTGGACCCGTGCTGGGTACTGGATACACAGAGATGAATCAGAGGCAGGCTGTGCCTTGTGGGGTACCTAATCTCCTGAGGAAGAAGGACACTCCAGCAGACCATCACATGCAACGAGACACACTCTAGGGCAGACAGCTGTACAGGGCAGAAAGGAGTGCGTGGTCAGCCAGGTCTGTCTGTGGTGGGATAATGTCGGTGAGGGAAGGCTTCCCGGAGGAGGCAATCATTGAGCAAAGTCTTGGAAGAGGAGAAATTTCCCTGTTAGGATAAGAGTGTCCAGTGTGTGCAGAGATGCGCAAAACTCTAAGGTGCGTTTGGGGAACTACAAAGCCCTCTGCTGGCTGCCTTGGGTGATGGGAAGTGGTCAGGCAGGACTGGGGTGGAGAGGGCCTTGAACACCATTGCAAGGCATTCCACCTCAGCCATCTGCCTTCCTCCTCTTTCCCTACTCCTCACCCCAACCATACTCACCCGCAAGATTGGTAAGGGGGAAGACAAGAATGGTGAGGGTACCAGGAGGGAGTGGGGGAGGCTGGGCCTGCGGCCCCCGCACCCAGCAGCTGACACCTGTGCAGCCTTCCAGTGGTGACGGAGGCAGCCCCCAGGGTAGAGGCTGTTAGCACCCCCTCTCCCTGGATGAGGAGCAAGGAGCCAGCAGAGTGACTGGGGTGGTGCTGGGTGGATAGCTGAGGGCTGAGCAGTTATCACCGGCTCACCTCCCAGCTCCGCAGACAAGCAACTCAGCCACTGAGAACCTCAGTCTCTTCATCTGTAAAAGGGACATCATAGTGATACCCGCCTTGTGTGTGCTGTGAGGCAACTGGGAAAATTACCTGAGATCATGTATGTGTGGGCTCAGCACGAGGCCTGGCACAGTGGGCTCCAGAGACAATGTGTGCTTCCTTCACTTTGGAGCTGGGCCTTGAGACCAGGGGTGCCTGACCCAAAGCTCCCTGTGTTTGCCCCGCCCAGGACTCACTTTAGACATTTCCCCCCTAGCCCTGGTTCTCCCTCTAGCATATCCCTCGTTTTCCCTTTCAACAAAACTTGAAACATCCGTCTACTTTTACCAGTTCCAGTTTCTCTCCCTCCACTCTCTCTTGCCCCTACCCAGACAGGCCCTGTCCTGGCCCACTGATGCTGTCCTTGTCATCTATGGCCTCCTGTTGTGGAGCGCAGTGACTGTCCTGGGGCAGGCCTCACCTTGCCGCCTCAGCACCAGTTGGCTCAGCAGACCCCCTCCCTTCATGAGACCTTTGCTCCCTACATGCCCTCTGCCCTCGGTCCCCTCCTGCCTCCCCACCCACCTCTCCTCAGTTCCCAGGGGCGAGTCCTTCCTGCTCCCTGGCCTCCTAACCTTGGGCTGTCCTGGGCTGGACCTGTGCTGTCCTCTCTGCACTCGCTGCTAAGGTGGCTTCGCCTGGGTCCCTGGTGTTATCACCACCTCTGCGCTCCCGACTTCCCCACATGCACCCCACAGCCTGGCCATGCAATTTGTGGTCGTGTCTTTTTTTCTTGAGACGGAGTCTTGCTCTATTGCCCAGGCTGTAGTGCAGTGGCACGATCTCGGCTCACTGCAACCTCTGCCTCCTTGATTCAGGTGATTCTCCTGCCTCAGCCTCCCAAGTAGCTGGTACTACAGGCACATGCCACCATGCCCAGCTAATTTTTTGTATTTTTAATAGAGATGGGGTTTCACTGTGTTAGCCAGGATGGTCTTGATCAGGACCTCGTGATTCGCCCACCTCGGCCTCCCAAAGTGCTGAGATTACAGGCGTGAGCCACCTTGCCTGGCCTCGTGTCTTAATTTATAAAGGTGACTGGGTGACAGCACAGAGAGGTCAGCGCCACTGAAAGGGAAGTTCACTGTGACTCACAGTGCTCCTGGAAACCTGGGGTCGGGCATGCCCACAGGCCACGGGGAAGCACCAGCATTGGTCTGGAGGGAGAAGGGAGTGGGGCCTGGGCCACAGCCTTTACTGGGCTTCCTGTGGGAAAAGCATGGCAGAGCCTGGGAGGCGGGTTGGGACCAGCTGATTTGAATAATTCTGGTAGGTTTTTGGGTCAAGGGGCTGTTCCTTATTGTCTGTGCCTGGCCCTGGGTCTGTTCAGGGCAGGGGGAATCTTGGCCTGGTGTGAGAGTTATATACAGCAGGTGGCTTGGGGTGTGGACTCAGGCTCGGCTGGTTTATATACCAAAGATGGACTCACTGACTCGTGGTTTACGGTTTCTAGGAATTATCTAGCCCTGAAGGGCAGTCTAATCCTGCCCAGCAAGTCCTTCAAGATAACAGAACATCATGCAATGTGGAAAACAAGTAAAACATACTATCCACGTCCTCTGAATTCCGGACTTGAATCTGCAGCTGTGTAATAAGCATTTCAAACCCAACATGTCCCACTGTCAACTCTATGGGCCCCCAAATCTGCTAGGCATGCTTCCCCCCACAGCTGATGGCGGCAACTCAGGTGTTCAAACCAGGCACCTTGGGGTCACCCCTGGCTTCTCACTTTCTCTCAAATCCACATCCAGTTGGTCAGCAGCTCCTGACACCTCCACCTTCAAAACTGGCTACAGCCTGGCAGGGTGCAGTGGCTCATGCCTATAATCCTAGTACTTTGGGAGGCCGAGGTGGGCAGATCACTTGAGGTCAGGAGTTTGAGACCAGCCTGGCCAACATGGTGAAGCCTCGTCTCTACTAAAACAGAAAATATTAGCCGGACGTGGTGGTGTGCACCTGTAGTCCCAGCTACTCGGGAGTCTGAGGCAGGAGTATCACTTGAACCTGGGAGAGGGAGGTTGCAGTGAGCCAAAATTATACCACTGCATCTAGCCTAGGCGACAGAGCAAAGACCCCGTCTCAAAAAAAAAAAAAAAAGGAAAGGAAAGAAAAAGAAAACAGTAGCTACAGCCTGTTCACTGCTGCCCTCCAGCCTGAGTTTCTGCAGCGCCCCCCACGGGTCTCCTAGCGCCTGCTCTGGTTCCCCTCAGTGCACTCTCTACGTGGCAGCCAGGGAGAGCCTGTTCAAATGCAAGGCCCGTGACTGCCCTGTGCACACCTGCCCCGTTCAGTCCAGAGTCACAGCCAAAGCCCTCACCCGGCCCTCCACAGCTCTCACAATCTGGCATTATCCCTCTTGGACTCCTCTGCCTGTCCTGCCCATCACTCCCTCCCCTCCAGCCACACTGGCCTCCTGGCTGGGCCAGGAACAGTGCAGGCTCACAACTGCCTCAGGACCCTCGCACTCACCGCTCCCGCCGTCTAGCAAGCTCCTCCTGTGCCTGCCTCTCCTCGCTGCTTCCTTCATGCCTTGACTAAAAGACCTTCAATAAATAAGCTACTTATTTATTTATTTATTTATTTATTTATTTATTTATTTATTTTTGTAGACAGAGTCTCGCTCTTTCGCACAGGCTGGAGTGCAATAGCGCCATCTCAGCTCCCTGCAACCTCCGCCCACCCGGTTCAAGCAATTCTCCTGTCTCAGCCTCCTGAGTAGCTGGGATTACAGGCTCCCGCCACCATGCCCGGCTAATTTTTGTATTTTTGGTAGAGACAGGGTTTTACTATGTTGGCTGGGCTTGTCTTGAACTCCTGACCTCAAGTGATCTGCCGCCTCAGCCTCCCAAAGTGCTGGGGTTACAGACATGAGACACTGTGCCCGGCCTAACACACTATTTAAATGGCAACTTGGGCCAGGCAAGGCAGCTCACACTTTAATCCCAGAAATTTGGGAGGCCGAGACGAGAAGATTGCTTGATCTCAGGAGTTTGAGACCAGTCTGGACAGCATGGTGAGACCCCATCTTTACAAAAAAATAAAATAAGATTAGCTGGGCATGGTGGTGTGTGCCTGTAGTCCCAGCTACTCGGGAGGCTTAGGTGGGAGGATCATTTGAGCCCAGGAATTTGAGGCTTCAGTGAGTTATAATCCCACCACTGCACTCGGGCTTGGGTGGCAGAGCAAGACCCTGTCTCAATAAATATATAAGTAAATAAATTGCAACCCTTCTAACTCCCCAGCACCCTCCCTACTTGCTTTTTCTTCTCAGTACACATCACCTTGTAACGTGTTACCCATTTTGCTTATTTATTTTGATGGGAGGTGGTCAGGCAGGGCTCTAGTGGAGAGGGCCTTGAACACCACCACGAGGCATTTCACCTTGTCCATCTGCCTTTCCCCTCTTTTTCCCAGTGGAAAACTCAGTGTGGGTGTGGAGTTTTGTCTTTGTTCAGTGCCACATCGTCAGCGTCTAGAACATCGAGGTGCTCCATAAATATTTGTTGGGTGACGAACAGCCTTTTACATGGAGATGTGTTTGAAATAAGCTCAATACTTTAAAGTCTTTTTGAATGACCATGAGATCGTCTTTTTACAGATTTCTGTTTAATTCCTGCACACCATCTGCCCCTTGTCCTGGCTGCTAATTTCTGTTTTTCCTCCAGCCTTGCTGTCCAGGCAGGTGCCCCCAGACCCTGTGCAGCTGGAGGAGAAGCTGTTGCCCCCACCTGTGATCCAGCATGACATGGAGGCCGAGAAGCAGCTGATCCGGGAGGTGAGATCCAAGTGGGTGGGAACATGGAGAAGGGGCAGGCAGGTGTGGCCCAGCAAGAAGGGCAGAGCTGCCGCTGGGTCCAATGTGATATCACCGTACCTTCACCTTGGGGTTGGTCCTGAGAAACTTGAGGCTCAAAGAGATGCCAGGACTTGCCCAAGGTCACACAGCAAAGAGTCTGAGCCAGGATTTGAACTTGAGTTCTTGACTCCAGACTGCTGTCAGTACTGCCTCAGGGCCTGCATGGTGAGAATAGAGGGGTGCAGGGGCGTCTCCAGGGGCGTGTTCTCCCCCTCGGTTTTGAAGGAAGGGGTAGCTGTGCATTGATGGAAGCAGAAAAGGCATGCCTGGCTGTGGAAATGGCCTGTGCAGAGGCGAGGCAGTCAGGGTGGGGAGGAGTCTGTCCCACAGCAGCCGTCAGCAAGCCGGGGTCTTAGAGCCAGGCAGCCCGTTTGACCAGCAGGTGAGTGTGGTGTTGGCCTCCTGGAAAAAGCTGTCACTTGGGGCACCTGGGTCCTCTCATGTGAGTGCCTCCCAACATCCCTGGGAAGCAGCGGGGGAGATGATGCCCCTGATTTCTGAAGGCAGAGCTGATCCCCAGAGCAGGACTTCCACAGCCAGGCGTGGTGGGGCCTCCTGACTCCTGCCTTTGGCTCCATCCCTGACTCCAGGCTCTGTTGGTTTCCAGAGAATCCCGCCTAAATGCTGCATCTTGAGACCTGAGTGTGCGGTGGAGTTTGACATGTGGCAGTCCCTTTATTCATTTGTTTATTTACTTACTTATTTTTGAGACAGCATCTTGTTGTCACCCAGGCTGGAGTGCAGTGGTGCGATCTCAACTCATGCAGCCTCAAACTCCCTGGCTCAGATGCTTCTCTCACCTCAGCTTCCCAAGTGGCCTGGACCACAGGTGCATGTCTTTACGCTTGGCTAATTCTTAAATTTTTTTGCAGAGATGGGGTCTCTATGTTTCAAGACCCACCCAGGCTGGTCTTGAACTCCTGGGCTCAAGCGATCCTCCCACCTCAGCCTCCCGAAGTGTTGGGTTTACAGGCATGAGCCACTGCGCCGGGCCTGATTGTCCCTTTAGATCCCTGGCTTTTCCTGATTTGGAACCCGATGCCAGGCAGGACGTGTCCGCTGCTGGACCCCTGCCACTCAACTACGACCTCCCATTAGGGTCCGCCTTCAGGCCTCGGAAGCCCCTGTTGGGCTGTGAGGACCTGGGGCCCAGCCTCTGGGGCAGATAGGAGGACTTTGGGAGTCTCAGTCCTGTGGGCCAGAGGCCTGGGAGAAATCCAGGCCTTGGGTGCTGTACGTGACGGGCGGAGCCTGTGCTGTTTGGGGAGAGGCTCGATGGTGCCCCCAGCGGACGCCGTCCGCCTCTGCCGGCTCTGGGAGCTCTGCGGCGGGCACTGCCTTTCTCCCTCCACTGCCGTTTCCAGCCCGGGTGTCAGGTCCCTTCCTGTAGCCCTGGGGAGGCTCCCGGGGAGGCTTTAGCAAGGAGGGGCGCTGAGGGATGGCTGAGCTCAGATAAGCCCACAGAAACCAGAGAAGCCAGCCTGCTGGAGTTCGGAGTGGGCATGGAGTCGCACAGGGGGGCTCGGAGGCTGGGAGTCACACATGGAGTCGCAGCCGGGGGGGCTTTGGTCACAGATGGAGGGGTGGGGCGGGCTGTGCAGGACGGGGACGGAGGCTTCCTTCCCGGGAAGCCCGATGGGGCCGGCGGCCCCGCTCTCCCGTAAGTAGGGCACTGCCTCCCCCTGGTGGTCACCAGGGAGAAGCGACGCCGTTCCTGGCGAGCCCCCGGAGAGCCACGGATGGGGGTGCCTTCTGCCCTGGGGATGGGGTCGCCTGCCTCCTCCTCGTGGGGCGTCCCAGTGGACACTGCGTCAGAGTGCTGCTGCCTGACGCCACCGCCACCAGGATTCCAAGAAACCCTGAGGTTTCTTCTGTGAGCCATGCTTGGAGGAAGCGTTGAAGATGTGTGTGCCCCCCGCCCCTCTGCTATCCCTGCTTCCTTCCTCTCTCCCATTTGTTCTTTTTCTCAACTCTCATATTTATTGAGCTCCTGCTATGCTCCTGGGACCATGTTTCCCTTTCCATTCCAGAACCATTCAGGAAAAGGGAGGAGCCCCCTCTGTGTAGGGAAGAGGGCACGGGCCGGGAGCCGGGTTTCGGTTCTCAGTCTGAACCAGGGGTTTGGACCAGAAGATTCCTAGGCTCCGTCCACCTTTCACTTTCTGCAGGTCCATCGTTATAGGCTCTGTGACCTTGGGCAGGTTGTTTGAGCTCTCTGAGCCTCTGTCTCATCTACAGAACAGGCATCATAGTGCCTTTCCTGCTGCTGCTTAGGGATGTAAGACGATGAAATGAAGGGCCGTCTTCTCCTTGGCGGGCTGTGTATCATGTATCGAGCAAGAGTTGGGGGTCAGCTCCGCCATTCAGACCTTAACGGGCATATTGTGAGCGCTTGCTGAGTGCTGGACACTCTAGCCAGAGGGAGATGTGGGGCCAAGGAAGGGTTTTTCATGCTTTAAATGATGGAAGTAAGACAGCATGTCTTGTAGACTGTCGGGAATTATCCAGCACAGAGGGAGAAGTCGAGGTACAGGAAGGAGGGGGCGGATTGCAAGCACAAGGTCCTGGAGCTGTGCGGCGTGGGTTGAGAGGAGGTGGAGCTTCCGGGTAGACCTGCAGGTGGACGGGAAGGTGAGGGAGCCCTGTGCCTCCCTGTTCTCTGTGACTCACCAGGCAAGGAATGTGGGAGGAGAGGAGGGTTGGGAAGACGGAGCGAAAGGGTGGGACTGGGGCTGTGGGCTCAGCCATGTAGAAGCCCACCTGCCTGAGATTCAGGTCCCATGTTTAAAAGTGAGAATGGGGTTGGGCGCAGTGGCTCATGGCTGTAATCCCAGCACTTTGGTATGCCGAAGGGGGCTGATTGCTTGAGGTCAGGAGTTCAAGACCAGCCGGGCCAACATGGCAAAACCCCGTCCCTACTAAAAATACAAAAATTAGCTGGGCGTGATGGCATGTGCCTGTGATCCCAGTTACTTGGGTGGCTGAGGCAGGAGAATTGGTTGAACCCGGGAGGCGGAGGTTGCAGTGAGCTGAGATGGTGCCACTGCACTCCAGCCTGGGCGACAGAGTGAGACTCTGACTCAAAAAAAAATTAAAAATTAAAAAAAAAAAAGGAGATTGGTGATGCTGTGCACATGCATATGTTGTGTGCGTGTGTGCGTGTGTGCATGTATGCGTGCATGCGTGTGCATGTATGTGTGCATGTGTGCCTGCATGTGTATGTGTGTGAATGTGTGTGTGCGCATGTGTGCCTGTGGGGTGCGTGTGTGTGTGCGCATGTGTGCCTGCGGGTACATGTGTGCCTGCATGTGCATGTGTGTGCGTGCGTATGTGTATGTTTCCATCTGTGTATTGCTAAGGTGAGGCCTGGGTTTAACCAGGGTCAGGGCTGTGCTGGGAGAAAACAATAGAGGGGCTGGGTGAGGGAGTCAGGGATGTTTACTGACTCGAGCCATGGGTCCTGGGATGCCAACTGGTGAGGAGGGCAGCAAGAGCAGGGGGCAGTGGAGGAGAGGGCTGCAGCGCTCTGAAGAGCTGCCTGGTCATGGAACCTCCCTAGGCCTCAGTAACACTGTGGGTATTGCTTTGAGGTTCAAGTGTATCTAAAAATGTACTGAAGAATGCACAATTACATCTGAATTATTCTCTGTCCCCTTCTCTCCCTCCCTAAGAGCCTAAATCAGTGCTATCCATACCAGTTTGTATTTGCCAAAGGGATCTGGAGATGTGGGAGTATGACGTGGTGCTTGCCCACCCCATCCCTGTCCTTGTCCCCTCTCTCTGGCTTACTACAGTGGCAGGCGCGTCTGTCAGCAGTGGCTCCAGAAGACAAAGGGTCCCAGACTATCTTTAATTCATAAATGCCCTGCCCTTCTCTTGGGACATGTGTGTCAGAGGCCTGAATATGTTGCATGCCCATAACCTGCAGTTCTGCCATTTACTGGCTCCACAGGGGTTTCTTGAATCCCTCTTCTGGCAGGCTCCGAGGTTACAAGACAGGATGGTCCTTCCAGCCTGGCCAAGATGGTGAAACCCTGTCTCTACCAAAAATATAAAAAATTAGCTGGGTGTGGTGGTGTACACCTGTAGTCCCAGCTGCTCAGGAGGCTGAGGCAGGAGAATCGCTTGAACCTGGGAGGTGGAGGTTACAGTGAGCTGAGATCACACCACTGCACTCCAGCCTGGGCCACAGAGTGAGACTCCGTCTCACAACAACAACAAAAAAGGACAGGATGGTCCTTGCTCTCTGGAGGGTGCCTTCTGGTAGGGGAGACCAACAATAAACTGTAATCAAATAAGAAGGAAGCAATGGGTCAGGCAGAAGTAGCAGCTCCTGTGATTACTAGGAAGCTGGAGAGACAGAAGAGACACAAGGAAGGAAAAGAAGCAACTGGCGGCCCTTGCCCTGGTGTCAGAAGACAGCAGCTGTGGAGGGCTGTGAGGAAGGGGGCGCTGCTGAGACAGCTCACACACTGTTCACACCCATTCACACACCACACACCCATTCACACCCATCCACCCATTCACACCCATCCACACACCATTCACCCAGTCACACCCATTCACAACTGTTCACACCTGTTCACACTCCATTCACACACCACACACCCATCTGCCACCCCATTCACACCCATCCACACACCATTCACCCAGTCACACCCATTCATACCTGTTCACACCCCTTCACACCCTTCCCCAGGCAAGTGTGTCCTGCCCTTGGCTGTCTCCCAGGAGTCCTCATCCTGGGGTAGTGAAATGATTGAAAACCCCATCTCTACCAAAAATATGAAAATTAGCCAGGCATGGTGGGGTGCGCATGTAACAGGCTACTTGGGAGGCAGAGGCAGGAGAATCACTTGAGCCTGGGAGGCAGAGGTTGCAGTGAGCTGAAATTGAGCCACTGCACTCCAGCCCAGGTGACAGAGTGAGACTCTGTCTCAGGAAAAAAAAAACAACAAACAATAGAGGAAGGGACAGAGAGCTGTGCAGGAGGGCTTCTGAGAGTATAGTCGGGGAAGGCCTCTCTGAGGGGTGTTACTAAGCTGCGGCCTGGGAAGGTGCTTGCCAGGGAGCAGGGCACAGGCCTTGGGGCAGGGAGGAAGTGGGTTTGTCTAGGAGGCCCCAAATGTGCATCATAGCCGTTGAGGGGTAGGCAGGGCCAAATCACTTGGGACTCAGATCAAGTTGAGGAGCTTAGATTTCATCCATGAACATGGGATTCCATTAGCAGATCCTAAGCAGGGGAGAGAGAGGTTGGGGCCAGAGTGAGAACAGAGGTGAGGACCAGGTGGCTGTTTGGATAAGAGCTGGCAGTGATAGCAAAGATGGAGAGAAGTGGGTGAATAAAAATATATTTTGTCATTGATGGATTGAGGACCATTGGGCAGAAAGGTATTTGCCAACATGGAAAGGTGTTCTTGATATATTGCTGTGTGGATAAAATAGATTGCAAACAAACGTACATATTATTAATCTGTTAAAAATGCACTGAGCAGCCTGGGCATAGTGGCTCATGCCTGTATTCCCAGCACATTGGGAGGCTGAGGCTGGCAGATCACCTGAGGTCAGGAGTTCAAGACCAACCTGGCCAACATAGTGAAACCCCGTCTCTACTAAAAAAAAAAAAAAATTAACCGGACTTGGTGGTGGACACCTGTAATCCCAGCTACTTGGGAGGCTGAGGCAGGAGAATCGCCTGAACCTGGGGGGTGGAGGGTGCAGTGAGCCAAGATTGTGCCATTGCACTCCAACCTGGGCAACAAGAGTGAAACTCCATCTCAAAAAACAAACAAACAAACAAAAAGAAGCACTGAGAGGCTGGGTGTGGTGGCTCATGCCTGTAATCCCAACACTTTGGGAGGCCGGGGTGGGAAGATCACTTGAGTCCAGGAGTTTGAGAACAAGCTGGGCAACATAGTGAGACCCCTACTCTAGAAATTTTTTATTTATTTTTATTTTTGAGACAGAGTCTCACTCTATCACCCAGGCTGGAGAGCAGTGGCATGATCTTGGCTCACTGCGACCCCCACTTCCCGGGTTCAAGCAGTCTCATGCCTCTGCTTCCCCAGTAACTGAGATTACAGGCACGCCACCATGCTTGGCTAATTTTTGTACTTTTAGTAGAGACGGGGTTTCGCCATGTTGGCCAGGCTGGTCTTGAACCCTGGCCTCAAGCGATCTGCCTTGGTTTCCCAAAGTGTTGGGGTTACAGGCGTGAGCCACTGCACCTGCCCCACAAAATTTTTTTTTAAAATTAGCTGATGGTGGCATGCCCATAGTCCCAGCTATTTGGGAGGCTGAGGCAGGAGGATCACTTGAGCCTGGGAGTTTGAGGCTGGAATGAGCCATGATTATGCCATTGCACTCCAGCCTGGGGGACAGAGTGAGACCCTGTCTCAAAAACAAAACAAAACAAAAAAGCATTGAGAACAGTTTAGAAAGGTCTTCACTAGCAAGTAATTATCACAGTGTTGTACAATTGGATTCTCTTGGCTTATATGTTCTGTATTGTTTGAATAACAACAAAGGAATACCTAAAGCTGGGTTTCAAAATGATGATAAAATGCTGCCTGCCCTCTGGTCCCCCCTCCCCACCAGGAGTATGAAGAGCGCCTGGCCCGGCTGAAAGCTGACTATAAGGCTGAGCAGGAGTCTCGGGCCAGGCTGGAGGAAGACATCACTGCCATGCGCAACTCATATGATGTCAGGCTGTCTACACTGGAGGAGAACCTGCGGAAGGAGACAGGTGGGCACCCCTTGCCTCCCCAGGCTGTCTTGAGGGAAGATGGCCTCCTTTCTGCCTCACTGCAGTAACTGCATCACAGAGCATTTTCTACACCCCAGGCTCAGGTCTGTTTTATCCTCACAATGGTCCGGTAAGGTAGGTACCACAGTTATGCTCACTATATAGATGAGGAAACTGAGGCACAGAGAGGGTAAGTAAGTTGCCCATGGTCACACAGCTGGTAAAGGAGAGCCAAGATTTGAACCTAGGCAGTCTGGCCCCAAAGCCAGTGTTCTCACCCACAGCACTGCACTGGGATGGCTTAGCCGTGGGCTGGGCTCCAGCTCGAGGCTGACTGTGAGCTGTGAAGTACTACCCTTTCTGTAAAGGCAAGCCCCTGCCCCGAATTTCTGTGTTTTCCATTTTCCCCTCTTACTTTTGAGCCTCTCTGTTACCAAAGCAAACACATCCCGTGATAAGATTTAATCCGTAGCCACAAATTTTTACCTATCTGGAAGTTTTTGTCTTTTTAAAAAAAAAAAAAAATTGTTTTGAGATGGAGTCTTGCTCTGTCGCCCCGGCTGGAGTGCAGTGGCATGATCTTGGCTCACTGCAACCTCTGCATCCCGAGTTTAAGCAATTCTCATGCCTCAGTCTCCTGAGTAGCTGGAATTACAGGTGCGCACTACCACACCCAGCTAATTTTTGTGTTTTCAGTAGAGATGGGGTTTCGTCATGTTGGCCAGGCTGGTCTCGAACTCCTGGGCCCAAGCAGTCCACCTGCCTTGGCCTCCCAAAGTGGGATTACAGGCGTGAGCCACTGCACTTGGCCTTTAGTTTTTGTCTTCTTTTTGCCACCCTAGGATGTTCCGCTGTACCAGTGTCAGTCAAACACGCATGCTGCCTGGAGGTTCAGACTTCCTAGCACTCATGAATAGTGTAGAATCCAGGCCTGGAATGATGATGATACTGATCGCACCGTCGGTACCATTTGTTGCACATTACCACGTGTCGGGTAATTTACCTGCTTTACCTGTACCTTCTTACTGAGCCTCTCTTTCCCCAGTCCAGCGAGGTAGGACTCCCTGAATCTTCCCCTAACCACGTGGAAACCAAGTCAGAGAGAGATCTAGGCCATTTAGCTGGGGAGTGGATCCCATATTTCAGCAAAGGGAAATATCAAGACCCGCTGACAGGGGTCTGGGACACAGCGATGAAGAAATGGGTGGGAGGTATGAGAGGCGCCGGGAACCCCCTGAGCCGGAGCACTAAGGGGTCCATGTGAATGCAGCCCTGTCTCCACTGCAAGGGAGACGCGCTCCTGGAGGAGACCCAGGGGAAGAGGAGGGAGCCGATTCTAGCATGTTCTGCCCTTTGGAGTGTTCCCTGCAGTCCAGATTGAATATGAGGCCTCCAGCTGCTCTTTGTCTGGCTCTGACATTCATCCACAGCATTCATTTAGCTCTCGCGGATCTAGCATATCCAGTGGACAAGAGCCCTGGGCCAGGCACTCCAGTGGGGGCTCCTAGGGCACCTGGGCATGAAATCTGCCAAACTCTCAGCCTTGGAAGGCAACAAGACCCCAGGAAGCCTGCCAGTGTGTGAAGAGTGGTCCCAAGGCAGGGCGTGCCGTGAGAGCCCAGCACTTAGTGGCCGTGGAGGTCAGAAAATGGAGAAATCACAGTGTTGGTCAGGGAAGGCTTCCTGGAAGAGGTGGAAGGCAGTAGGTTTGGGTTCTGATAAGAGCAGAGATGGGAAGGCAGGCAGGCTGTAGCTAGCCTCTGGAGGGCCTAGGAGGCTCTGACTCTCAAGCTGGTCTTTTAGAAACAGTGGGCTTGGGCCGAGTGCGGTGGCTCACACCTGTAATCCCAGCACTTTGGGAGGCTGAGGCGGGAGGATCACGAGGTCAGGAGATTGGACCATCCTGGCTTACACAGTGAAACCCCATCTCTACTAAAACTACAAAAAAATTAGCCAGGCGTGGTGGCGGGTGCCTGTAGTCCCAGCTACTGGGGAGGCTGAGGCAGGAGAATGGCGTGAACCTGGAAGGCAGAGCTTGCAGTGAGCCGAGATTGCCCCACTGCACTCCAGCCTGGGTGACAGAGCAAGACTCCGTCTCAAAAAAAAAAAAAAAGGAAAAGAAACACTGGGCTTGGGGCCACCTTCTGCGGAAGGATCTCTCATTCTGACCCTTTAAAAACCTGAAGGACGGCCGGGCGCGGTGGCTCAAGCCTGTAATCCCAGCACTTTGGGAGGCCGAGACAGGCGGATCACGAGTTCAGGAGAGCGAGACCATCCTGGCTAACACGGTGAAACCCCGTCTCTACTAAAAAATACAAAAAAAAAACCCTAGCCGGGCGAGGTGGCGGGCACCTGTAGTCCCAGCTACTCGGGAGGCTGAGGCAGGAGAATGGCCTGAACCCGGGAGGCGGAGCTTGCAGTGAGCTGAGATCCGGCCACTGCACTCCAGCCTGGGCGACAGAGCGAGACTCCCTCTCAAAAACAAAACAAACCAAACAAACAAACAAAAAAACCTGAAGGAATTTCTCCATTTTGCAGAGGCTGTCTTGCAGGCGGAAGTCCTCTACAAGGCTGAGGTCATGTCCAGGGCCAAGTTTGCCACCAGCTCTGAGTACCCACCTGCTTTCCAGTATGAGACAGTGGTGAAACCCGAGGTCTTCTCCACGACTGACACTCTGCCCAGTGATGACGTCTCCAAGACTGAGGTTTCCTCCAGGTTCGCGGAGCTGCCCAATGTGGAACCCTCCAAGTCTGGGATTTCTCTGGGCTCCAGTGAGTCATCCTCACTCGAAGAAACCTCTGTGTCTGAGGCTTTCCCTGGGCCCGAGGAGCCCTCCAACGTGGAGGTCTCCATGCCCACTGTGGAGTCCAGGAGCAGATACTTCCTGGATGAGTGTGTCGGGCAGGAGGCCGCTGGGCACCAGCTGGGGGAACAGAACTACCTCCCGGAAGAGGAGCCGCAGGAGGTGCCCCTGCAGGGGTTACTAGGCCTGCCGGACCCGTTTGCCGAGGTGGAAGCCAAGCTGGCCAGACTCTCCTCCACCGTGGCCAGGACAGACGCATCCCAGGCAGACATCCCCAAGGTCCCCGTGCAGGTAGCTGATGTCATGCCTGGTGCCATGCGAACACTGAGCAGGCAGAGCTTGCCCAGGGTCTGGAGCTCACTGTCCACACGCTGTTCACACACACGGCCTCTGCTGCTCAGGCCGTGGCTCCACTGTGTCCGCTGTGGCTCTGGCACTGGTGGCTGGTTCAGGGGCCCTGGTGTCCAGGGGTTGGGAAAGGAGAAGGTCTGTCTCATGCTCTGTCATTCAATAAGAAAGTTGGGGTCCAGGTGCAAGGTTATGCCAGGTGAGCACCTGTTCTGCAGATGGAGTGACAGCTGTACGGGGCCCAGTTGCCATGGTTACAGTGAGTGTCCAGGCCTGATGGAGCCTTGGGCAACCCTCACCGGCTCGTGAGCTCCGTAGTGAGCTGGGTGGGGGGTCTGTGGGAATCCAGCCACCTTTCAGTGACCGTGAGGCTTCTGGGACACTGCTCTTCCTCCGTCTGGCCCCCTGACCAACATCTTCTCCCTTTTCAACAACCCTCTTGTTTTAAAAAAATGTTCCTCTTGGCCAGGCACATTGGCTCACTCCTGTAATCCCAGAACTTTGGGAGACCAAGGTGGGTGGATCGCCTGAGGCCAGGAGTTCAAGACCAGCCTGGCCAACATGGTGAAACCCCATTTCTACTAAAACTATAAAAATTAGCCAGGTGTGGTGGCGTGCACCTGTAATCCCAGCTACTCAGGAGGCTGAGGCAGGAGGATCATTTGAACCTGGGAGACGGAGATTGCAGTGAGTCAAGATTGCACCACTGTGCTCCAGCCTGGGTGACAGAGTGAGACTCCATCTCAAAGAAAAAAAGAGTCCTATTTTCTTCTCTTTTTGTTCTCTGCTTTCCTTTCCTTTCCTGTGTGTGTGTGTGTTTGTGTGTGTGTGTCTGTGTGTGTGTATTTAGAGAGAGAGATCTCAGGTCTGCCACTTCCTTGGTGTGTGACCTTTCTGGGCTCGGTTTCCTCATCTGTAAAACGAGGATGCTTCAGAGGAGTGGATACAGGCAACACTCCTGGTACACAGCAGGAGCCCACCACACGCCCTGACCCGCAGCCCTTGTCCCATTTCCTCTCTTCCCTGTTCTCTCCCTCATCTCTTCCCCCACTTTGTGCTCCTTCTCTCAGGAGGGACAGGCAGGGGAGGGTAGGGGGTGGTGGGAGGCCTTGGGGAGTTGGAGTGAGGCCAGAGGTAAGGGAGCAGAGGATGGTTCTGGCCCAAATCAGGCTTCTTCCTCCCCCATCCCCTCTCTCCTCCCAGGCCCCCGTGCTGACAGACCTGCTGGAGCCCGGGGATGCCAGACCTGAAGCTGAGGCGGCTGATGACTTCCCGCCCAGGCCTGTGAGTACCTCCCTGGGCCTCCGTGTTGGGGACGGGGTTCTCTTCAACTTCCTGGGAAACTCCAGCTTGTCTTCTCCCTCCCTGCGCCTCAGTTTCCTCATCCATGAGCTGAGAACAACAACCCCCGCCTTCCCCGGGCTTGTGGCCCATGGCCCGTGACCAGGCAGTATGCAGTGGGAGGAGCCATCATCTTCTTACGGAGTGAAAGAGGCCTGTTGTTCTAGATGGTGGCTCTCAAACCTTCCTCAGCCTTGGTGCACTTTGTGTAAAGCAGTTGAGGCCCAGTGTATGTAAAGGACAAGGGCTGCAGGTCGGGGCTGGTAGCCCCTAAGACACCATCAGGGAACCCAGTTTGAACACCCCAGGAGAGCGAGAGGAGGCTTTAAATCTCCCCACATTTATAGAGAAGAAGACAATCTAGACTCAAGGGTGGGCTGGGCACAGGGCCTGCAGCAGACTCTCAGGGGGGCGTAGATGGAGCGGCCGGGGCAGCCCTGGCTAGGAAGTGACTCTGAGATGGGACCCAGGCATGAAGGAGGGATGGGGGGAAGCAGCAAGCAGAGGGGACAGCAAGTGCCAAGTTCCTATGGCTAGAAAGACCTTGACTTTCTCAGCAATGGAAAAGGAGGCCCGGGTGGTGGGGGAGGCCGTGGAGGTAAAGAGCCGGCAGAGAGGAAAGTGGACTTTGCTGCTAACGTGACGGGAAGTCACGCGGGCCTCATCGGGAACGGGATGTGATCGGTTTCTATTTTAAGATGGCCCTGGCTGCCTGTGGAGACTGGATTGTGGGAGGTGAGAGAGGAAGCTGGGAGCTTTCCTCACAGCGTGGGGGTGTCAGTGGGAATAGCGGCAGTAAGAACTCAACAGGGCGTGTTTTTGTGTCACTGGTGTCCCTGAGCTGGAGGTGATCTGTCGGGGCTGCAGCAGGCGGAATGGCCCGGTCGGGGACTGAGCCGCCTGGGAGACATCGGGCGTGGGGGAGGGGGTGGCCTTCCCACCTCCACCTGGGTTTCTCTTCACACTCAGGAGGTAGATCTGGCCTCCGAAGTGGCCTTGGAGGTGGTGCCGACGGCAGAGCCTGGCGTGTGGTTGGAGACTGAGGCCCCAGTGTCCGTGGTGGCTCAGCCTCAGTCCCTGCCAGCCACAGCCAGTGTGAGGAGGGAGAATGTGGGCATGGAGGTGGCGGTGCTGACCGATGACCCGCTGCCCGTCGTGGACCAGCAGCAGGTGCTGGCCCGGTAAGCAGCAGAGCATGGGGCCGGCGGGACCCCACGGTGGGGTGGGAAGGGGCTGCGTTCCAGGATGGAGGTGGGGGTGCCATAGCTTCCTCCCAGCTCTCCCTTCTAACATGGCAGGGTGACCCTGATTCGTCTCCAGGCATGGTGGGGACTGGGCGGGCAGGGCTCTGCTCTGGAAGCTACACAGGCTGCCACCAGCATCCCTTGTCAGGCCTGCTGGCCTTCAGGTTTCAGGAATCCCAGGGCAGAGTATCACAGGCTTTTCTCCCATCCCAGTCAAGCCCCCAGCCCCCTGGCCTCCAGTGCCCTCCCTGATGTGATACCCACTCACCCACAGGACAAGCCATCCCCAGGCACTCTGAGACCGCCTGGGGAGCTGGCCTTTCCTCACGTGCCGTGTGGCTTTGTTAGGTTGCTTAACTTTTCTGAGCCTCGGTTCTCACTTGTGTTAATGATGTCAGCCCAACCTCCATGCCACAGTCATCCAGGTGTTCAATGGGGGAGAGCCAGTCCCAGAGGCCACAGTTCAAACACTAACTGAATGACTCCTGAGTGCTGGGCACAGGACGCAAGGATGAGCAAGCTGCTGCCCCAGTCCCAAGGGCCCACAGGCCAGGGCGGGGGACAGGCAAAGCCAAGAGGGTCCTGTTCTCTAGCGGTTCCCAGCCTGCCTCCTCCACTAGCTCTGCCACCTTGGGCCAACTTGAAACCTCTCTGTGCCTTCGCTGCCTATCTTCAGAATGGGCGATATCAATAGTCTCAGTGTGAGAAGCTTGTGGTGAGGGTCAAAACGAGGCATTGCCTGCAACGTGGCAGCCCCGCGCTGGGCACGCAGTAAACACTTGGCACGTGTCCTGGCTATTTTCACAGTGTGCTGTGGAGGGAAGGCTGAGGGGGGGTGCGCTTCACAGAAGGGGAGGCACCTGAATAAGGTTTGCTGCAGGGGTGGCATCCTAGAGAAAGGGCACAGCACTTGCAAAGGTGGGACCTGGCCTGGGCGTTTGGAGACGTGCAAGCAATGAGTGAAAGCTGGAGTGAACCGGGGAGGGGTGCAGGGGGGCCGGAGGGAGGACCCTGTGTACCCTCCTTGGGTGCTTGGCTCGACCCACAGCAGGATTTGTTTTTTCTTTTTCTTTCTTTTTTTTTTTTTTTGAGACGGAGCCTTGCTCTGTCGCCCAGGCTGACTGGAGTGCAGTGGCGTGATCTCAGCTCACTGCAACCTCTGCCTCCTGGGTTCAAGCCATTCTCATGCCTCAGTCTCCCAAGTAGCTGGGATTACAGGTGTGCACCACCACGCCTGGCTAATTTTTATATCGTTAGTAGAAATGGGGTTTAACCATGTTGGCTAGGCTGGTCTCAAACTCCTGACCTCAAGTAATTCGCCTGCCTAGGCCTCCCAAAGTGCTGGGATTACAGGCGTGAGCCACCGCACCCAGCCTCGAAGCAGGATTTTAAACAGAGCAGTGACATGGACGTGGTTCCCTTTTGCACCGGCTGCCATGGAGCCTGAAGTGGTTAGAGCCTGGCTGCTCGGGTTGCAAAGTTCCATTTTTTTCCTGAGCATGATCCTCTCCTCCTTTTGTGAATCCTTATCAAGCCTCTGGGCTACTCACTCCCTTTGGAAAGAGGCAGGGTTTGAAAAATGTTTGTGTTGCTTCATTAGACAGTGGGAGGTGGCAATTCCCGTAAACTTTTCTCTATAGTTATTTAAAATTTGTATCTTTTTTTTTTTTTGGCATTGTTGCATTTTTATTGATTTTTTAAAATTTATTTTATTTTATTTTATTTTTTGGTAGAGATAGAGTCTCTCCATGTTGCCCAGGCTGGTCTCAAGCCCCCGGGCTCAAGCAGTCTATCTGCCTCAGCCTCCCCAAGTGTTGGGATTATAGGCGTGAGCCACTGCACCCGGCCTAAAATTTGTACGTTTAAAGGACAAAACTCTAACCATTTTTGAGCATTTTGGATATAATAGTCTTAATGTATTGTGGATATAATAGGATATATATAATTTAGATATAATAGCACAATGTATTGTGCGTGTCCCTCCCTGATTAAATATTGTGCATTGAGTGCATTGAACATTTTTCACAACCCAGGGTTCTTCTCATCATGCCAGTGGCCTCAGACACAGAACGCACCTGCTCAGCTGCAGGGAGCACCAGCGTGGGAAGTCCGCGGGTCAGGGGTGGGTTAGCTGAGCCCACAGGAAGATTCCCGCCCTGACCCACCACTGTGGTCGAGTGCACAGGCAGGGAGTTGGGCAGGAGTCCTGGTTGTGACCCTGAGCAAGCATAGTCCTGTCGCCGAGCCTCGGTTTCCCTCCCTGTGAAGTGGGGTCGTTGGAAGGATTTGGTGGGCTCACGCATAGCCTGGAGCCTGCCGGATGGCACGTGCTCGGTGATGAGCAGATATTTTCTTGTTTGCTTTTTCCTCTGCGCTGGCAGTCTGCAGCTGTTGGAGCAGCAGGTGGTGGGTGGAGAGCAGGCCAAGAACAAGGACCTGAAGGAGAAGCACAAGCGGCGTAAGCGCTACGCAGACGAGCGCAGGAAGCAGCTGGTGGCTGCCCTGCAGAACTCGGATGAGGACAGCGGGGACTGGGTGCTGCTCAATGTCTATGACTCCATCCAGGAGGAAGTTCGGGCCAAGAGCAAGCTGCTGGAGAAGATGCAGAGGAAGGTGAGGCCCAGGTGCAGCCCCCCATGCCCAGCTGTCCAGAGATGGGTGAGACCCCCATCCAGGCATCCCTACACCTTGTGGGAAGCCAGGCAGCCCTTTACTCTTTACACAGCAGGCATGCATGCATTTATTATTTATTTTCAGAGACAGGGTCTCTCTGTGTCACCCAGGCTGGAGTGCAGTGGTACAGTCAGCTCACTGCAGCCTCCACCTCCCAGAATCGAGCCATCTTCCCTGTCTCAGTCTCCCGAGTAGCTGAGACTACAGGTGTGCACCACCACACCTGGCTACTTTATGAAATTTTTTGGACAGGCAGGGTCTCACCATATTGCCCAGGCTGGAAAGCACTTATTAAGTGCCTGCAGTGTGGCACACCCTGTTCTGATGCTGGCAGGCAGAGCAGTCATGGGGACAGATGTGTCCCTGTCACTGTGGAGCTTGTCTCCCAGTGTGTGTGTTGTGTGTGTGCATGCATGCGGATATGTTGTGTGTGTGTACATGCATGTGTGTATGTGTTGTGTGTGTGCGCGTGTGGGTGTGTGTGTGTAAGAAATAACACAGCAGAGAAATAAGCAAGAGAATATCGAGGAGTGGTCAGTACTGTGAAGAGAATACCAGAGCGAGACAACTCCGTTTTTATGTTTTCATTTTTGTAGATGATTAAGTGCACACATTACAAATGCACAACTTGATTCATTTCTATAAAGTGCTTTCCACAAAGCATGCTCATGAAACAAGCACCCAGACTGGGAACCTCAGAAGGACCTGGGCTAACACAGGTCAGGGACAGGGACGTTCTCCTGGAGGTAGAGACTTCTGGGAGAACTGAGAGAGAGAGAACCAGCCCTGGGTGGCGTGGGGAGGAGCACTGGGATGGAGCCTGAAGCAGGAGAGAGGTCAGCATGTTCTAGGAGCAGAGAGTGGGCAGATGCAGCTGGAGAAAGGGAGTGAGGCCGGAGTCAGGGAGTGCGATTCTGCCCGCGGTGAGGGTTACATGCGCTGCCTTTGGAGCTTTCTCTGTGCTGTCTGGGTTTCCTGATCCTCATGATGGCTCCTTGGCCATCTTCAGGGTCCTCCCCACCCCTCCCTGCCCCCACCACTGTCCTGGCAGCCAAAGGATCTTGCCGAGCATAAAACTTTTTGCCTCTTTGGGCTGGGCGTGGTGGCTGTCACCTGTAATCCCAGCACTTTGGGAGGCTGAGACGGGCGGATCACCAGAGGTCAGGAGTTCAAGACCAACCTGGCCAACATGGTGAAATGCTGTCTCTACTAAAAAAAAATACAAAAATTAGTCCGGCCTGGTAGCTGTAATCCCAGCTACTCAGGAGGCTGAGGCAGGAGAATCACTCGACTCTGGGAGGTAGAGATTGCAGTGAGCTGACATCACGCCACAGCACTCCAGCCTGGGTGACAGAGTGACACTCCGTCTCAAAAACAAAACAACAAAACAAAACCTTTTTGCCTTTTTAACCTCCTTAGTTTTTTATTTTCTTGGCTTTTTTTTTTTTTTTTTTGAGACAGAGTCTCACTCCGTCGCCCAGGCTGGAGTGCAGTGGCGTGATCTCGGTTCACTGCAAGCTCCGCCTCCTGAGTTCATGCCATTCTCCTGCCTCAGCCTCCTGAGTAGCTGGCACTACAGGCACCCGCCACCATGCCTGGCTAATTTTTTGTATTTTTAGTAGAGACGGGGTTTCACCATGTTAGCCAGGGTGGTCTCGATCTCCTGACCTCGTGATCTGTCCGCCTCGGCCTCCCAAAGTGCTGGGATTACAGGTGTGAGCCACCGTGCCTGGCCCTTCTTGGCTATTTTTATGTCTTTTCTTAATGCTCCTTGTTATATTTCCAGTTGAATTCATTCTCACGTAGGTATCTTGAATTAGGTCTACATTTCTAATATTTTTTCCTTTCTTTTCATTAATGTCCTATTTCATATCTTCTTGATTTTTTTGCCCCTTTCTAAGTTTTTCGATTTTGGATTAGAAATGTTCATACCTGTGACTGCCTGTTTAAGAACATTTTATTCACATGTATTCTAATTGGGGTTATTTTTTAGTTTTTAGTTTTAAGAGTCTCACTCTGTCACCCAGGCTGAAGTGCAGTGGCACGAGCATAGCTCACTATAACCTTGAACCCTTGGGCTCAAACAACCCTCCCGCTTCAGCCTCCCAAACTGCTGGGGTAGGTGTGAGCCACTGCATCCGGCCTTGTGTTACATTTTTAATCTGCTGGCTAGGTTCTGTGAGCTTGTGCTTTCAGGGAGAATTTTCTTCACTGAAATGTTTTGATTTTTATTTTCTGTTTCTTCTAGTAGCTTTGGTTAGACACATCTGTTCTTCCCTTCTTTTCTGTTTACTCTGTGATGTCTTGTTTTTCTGGACTATCAATAACAGCTGAAGGCAGAGATGAAGGTTGGGGTGGCGTCTTAGGTTTCTTCATTCAATAGCACACTCTTCTCTTTGTGTAGTGAAGTGTGGTTTTAAATAGAACTCTAGGCCGAGCACGGTGGCTCATGCCTGTAATCCTAGCACTTTGGGAGGCTGAGGTGGGCGAATTGCTTGAGCCTGGGAGGTGGAGGTTGCAGTGAGTGGAGATCGTGACATTGCACTCCAGCCTGGTCAGCAGCATGGAACCCTGTCTCAAATTCATCAATCAAACAAATTAAACAAATCTCTGATTTGTTTCCTATTACTGTGTTAACAAATTACTATACATTTATTTACTTAATATACACAAACATACCATCTCACAGTTCTGTAGGTCAAAGTCTGGGTACAGTGGGGCTGGCTTCTCTGCTTAGAATTCCACGAGGCTGAAATCAAGGTGTTAGTGGGGCTGGACTTCCTTCAGGAGGTTCTAGGGGAAGAATCCTTGTCCGCGCTCATTTCAGGTGTTGGCAGAATTTAGTTCGATGAGGTGGTTTACGGCACTGAAGTCTTCATCTTTTTGCTGACTGTTGGCCACTCTTGGCTTCTAGACACTGCCTGCACTCCAGGGCTCCTGGACCCCTGCAAAGACAGCCAGGGTGGGGAGCAGTCCCTCTCACGCATGGAATCTCTCTGACTCCACTCCTGCCTCATCTTTCAGAAACATCTTTTCTACCACATCGCTCCTGCCTGCCTCTTTGCCTTCCTCTATTGCTTTTATTTTTATTTTTCATTTTATTTTGAGATAGGGTCTCGCTCTGTTGCCCAGGCTGGAGTGCAGTGGCACAATCATATCTCACTGCAGCCTTGACCTCCTGGGCTCAAGAAATCCTCCTGCCTCAGCCTCCTGAGTAGCTGGGACTACAGGTACGCACCACCATGCCTGGTTAATTTCTTTATTATTATTATTTTTTGTAGAGAAGGGGTCTTGCTATGTTACCTAGGCTGGTCTCAAACTCCTGGGGGTCTTGCTATGTTACCCTGGCTGTCTCAGGCTCAAACGATTCTCTTGCCTCAGTCTCCCAAGTAGCTGGGACCACAGGCGCGTGTCACTGCACCCAGCTAATTGTTTTGTAGAGAAGGGGTTTTGCCATGTTGCCCAGGCTGGTCTCGAACTCCTAAGCTCAAATGATCTGCCCGCCTCAGCCTCCCAAATTGCCGGGATTACAGGCATCAGCCACCGGACCCGGCTGCAAAGTCTTTTTTTTTTGCCAAGGAAGATACCATATTCACAGGCACAAAAATAGGGGGCAAAAATCTTGGGGTGAAAGGAAAGCTTTTTTTTTGGTGGTTTTTGTCTTTTGTGGTTTTCTCTTGTTTCTGCAGGACTTTCAGTTTCCATATCAAGGGTGCTTCCCACTTCTAAACGCAGCACCTTCTGGAGACTAACTCCTCTGATCCTGCGCACATACTGGTCTCTTCCATCAGTTTCTCATTTTCAGGTTTCAGATCTGTTTTTAGGATTTTCTTCCTCCTTGTGGAGGGACTGCACCCTGCCTTCCATCACCTCATTCCTCTTCGCCCCATGCTGTCCTGGGTGCTCTCTGCTTACCTCCCCATGGGGTGGCTCAGGGGCTGTCTGCTGGACTTGAGGGTTTATCTCTGTACTTCCATGTAATTCAAAGCTTCCAGTGTTCTCTGTCTTCAGGTCAGGCTGTAGGCTGGTTAAGGGTGGTTTTATTTTTCTCTCCTGGTTCTTCTGTATGTTTTTTGGAGGTCTTATGGGAGAGATTCAGACTTAGATGGATCTTTTCATCCTAAGGCACCTAGAGAGCTGTTTTTTGTTTGTTTGTTTGTTTGTTTTATAAGGAAATATGTATGTATGTTTGTGTACACACTGACATTGTTTGGCTGTGTCCCCACCCAAACCTCATCTTGATTTATAGCTCCCATAATTCTCACGTGTTGTGGGAGGGACCCGGTGGGAGATAATTGAATCATGGAGTCCGTTTCCCATGATTCAATTATGATTCATGCTTTTGTGGTAGTGAATGAGTCTCATGAGATCTGATGGTTTTAAAAGGGGAAACCCCTTTCACTTGGTTCTGATTTTCCTTTTGCCTGCCACCATGTAAGACGTGCCTTTCACCTTCCACCGTGATTTTGAGGCTGCCCCAGGCATGTGGAACTGTGAGTGCATTAAACTTCTTTTTCTTTATAAATTACCCAGTGTTGGGTATGTCTTTATGAGCTTTGTGAAAACGGACCAATACAAACACACAAGCACTCAGGCTTCTAGACACTGCCTGCACTCCTGGGCTCCTGGACCCCTGCAAAGACAGCCAGGGTGGGGAGCAGTCCCTCTCACGCATGGAATCTCTCTGACTCCACTCCTGCCTCATCTTTCAGAAACATCTTTTCTACCACATCGCTCCTGCCTGCCTCTCTGCCTTCCTCTGTTGCTTTTATTTTTATTTTTCATTTTATTTTGAGATAGGGTCTCGCTGTGTTGCCCAGAATGGAGTGCAGTGGCACAATCATAGCTCACTGCAACTCTTTCTTAGATAAAAGTAGCTCTGGTGCATGCTTTCTTCTACCTAGCTTTCCTCACGTAACAACGTATAATATCCTGAAGGCCACAGCAGTATGGAAAGATACTCCTCATTCTTTTTTGTTTTTGAGATGGAATCTCCCTCTGTTGCCCAAGCTGGAGTGCAGTGGCCCAATCTCAGCTCACTGCAATCTCCGCCTCCTGGGTTCAAGAGATTCTCCCACCTCAGCCTCCCGAGTAGCTGGGACTACAGGTGTGCACCACCCATGCCCGGCTAATTTTTCTATTTTTTAGTAGAGATGAGGTTTCACCATGTTGGCCAGACTGGTCTTGAACTCCTGATCTCAGGTGATCCACCCACCTCAGCCTCCTACCTCAGCCTCCCAAACAGCTGGGATTACGGGTGCCCACCACTACACCTGGCTAATTTTTTTGTATTTTTAGTGGAGATGGCATTTCACCATGTTGGCTAGGCTGGTTTGAAACTCCTGACCTCAAATGATCCACCCGCCTCAGCCTTCCAAAGTGCTGGGATTACAGGTGTGAGCCACCGTGCCCAACCTCAAACATCCCTCTTTACTAATAAAACTGTACCTGCTCTTTGAGGAAACAGACTGTGTACCAGGGAGTCTTGGGGCTCCGGGAGAGGGTGGTTATGGCTGGGGCTGGCAGTCACCTGTGCTTAGGAGGGACCAGGGGGACCAGTCTGGCAGACTTGAGCAGGAGACCAAAAGAATCTGGAACCCTTGATCAAATCAAGGTGGGTCTTACTCTTAGGTCCAGTTTTTGTCACACCGTAACACAGGGCTGTAGCAGTGGGAGAGTGAGGATTGTCAATTGGAGAGTTTGTGCTTGTTGTCCTCCTTAGAGATGTCACTTGTGCCGTTCTCTGAGATCCTTTAGAACTGTGGTGTTGGATGTGGGCCCTTCTAAAAGGCCCTTGAATGAAATGTACACTGAGGTATAGTGACTGAGGGCTGGCTGTTGGAGTTGCTGATCAACTTTTCCCCTGCATTTTGCAGGGCTGGGGGTACACATTAGGTGCTCATTTAAATGCCAGGTGGAGAGGCAGCAGGGTGGTTGGATAGACGGAAGGATTGGTAGGTGTGAGAGAAGGTGGATGGATGGATAGAGGGAAGGATGGCTGGATGGATGGTGGGGATGAGAATGGATGGCTGATCAGGCCAGTGAACAGACGATGTGTGGCTGCTGGCCGGACAGTGAGTGGACAGAGTGGTTAGATGGAACGGGAGGTATCTTTCCCTGCTCACTGCTTGTCATCCTTTGCTTTCAGCTTCGGGCAGCAGAGGTGGAGATCAAAGATCTGCAGTCTGAGTTTCAGCTGGAGAAGATCGATTACTTGGCCACCATCCGCCGGCAGGAGCGTGACTCCATGCTCTTGCAGCAACTCCTGGAGCAGGTGCAGCCCCTGATTCGCAGGGACTGTAACTACAGCAACCTGGAGAAGATTCGGCGTGAGTCCTGCTGGGATGAAGATAATGGCTTCTGGAAGATCCCACAGCCCGTCATCACAAAAACCAGCCTCCCAGTAGGTCAGGAGCTTGGCTGGCCCTTGCCCTCCCCTCCCTCCTTCATGGTTCACCATCCTGCAGACTGGCAGGGAGCGTGGGCCTGTCCTTGCAGGCTGTGGGTGTAGCAGACACGTAGGCCTAGGTATCTGATGCATCAGCACTCTGAGAAAGTGGTGTGTTCTGGAGGCAGACAGATGTGGGTTGGAATTCTGGCAGCACCATTGCCTGTGTGCCCTTTTTGGGACTTGATGTCCTCATCTGTGAAATGGGGATGAATAACAGCACCTTTCTTAAACTTGCTGTAAGGCTTGAACTGTGTTAACAGGCCAAGTATGGTGGCTCACGCCTGTAATCCCAGCACTTTGGGAGGCTGAGGCTGGCAGATCCCTTGAGTCCAGGAGTTCGAGATCAGCCTGGCCCACGTGGTGAAACCCTGTCTCTAAAAAAAAATACAAAAATTAGCCAGGTGTGGCAGCATGTACCTGTAGTCCCGCCTACTTGGGGGGCTGAGGCGAGAGGATTGCTTGAGCCCGGGAATTCAAGGCTGCAGTGAGCCAAGATTGTGCCACTGCATTCCAGCCTGAGTGACAACGTGAGACCCTGTCTCAAAACAAACAAACCCCCCTCCAAAAAAACCCAGAAATGTGTTAATACACATAAAACGCTTAGAGCAGTGCCTGGCACATAGTGAGTGCTTGCTACATGTTATCCTAATCAGCATTGCCACTGGTTCATCCTTACAACAGCCCTAAGAAGAACAGGTCTTCTACCCCTTTCACATAGGAGCACACAATCTCAGATGGTCTAAAGTCACAGTCACAGCAGTGAGTGGGAGGACCATGGATCGAAACCCACAGTTCAGAGTTTCAGGCCTGGTTCAGCTTCCACTCTTGCTGCTGACCTCACGTGTGACCTTCCGAAGATCACTGTCCCTCTCTGGGCTTCTTTACAAAGAAGGGGTTGGATGAGATGACCTTGAAGGCCTCCTCACCTCTGATGAGTCTCAGAGTAAAGCCAGGCATGCTGTGGCTCTTTTTCCAGCCAGGGACCTGACTCTGTGCATTGGGGAGCCCACAGTGCCCTCCAGGAGTCCTCCCTCTTGTTCAGAGTGTTCATCCAGGTCCGACATCTCTGATATTTATAGACGGCATTGACACCATCCCTGCTGAGACCCCAGCCCGCTCCCTTTCCCACATGCTCTTGGATGCAGTAGCCTTCCTGTCTGTCCCCACCCTCGCCTGCTATCTTGCCTGGAAGCCCCTTGGCTGCTATCTTGCCTGGAAGCAGATGAGGGTCTTCTCTGGTGTCTGAGCCCCTCCTGCTGTCTGTTTCTTAAAATTATCCCTTGGCTTGGGCTGGGAAGTGTCCTCCCCTGTTTAAGCCTGAGCCAGGCCTGACCCCCACCTCCACCTGTGCCCTCCTCTGGGCCTTGCACCAGGCAGCAGTGACTTCAGCTTTTGTTTTCTCATAGCAGTTTCAACTGGGCCACAGAACAAACCAGCCCGCAAAACCTCTGTAGCAGACAACGGCGAGCCGAACATGGTGAGGGCTCCCTCCCGGTGGGGAGAAGGAGTGGGGTGTCGGGGGCTGGGAGGGCTTTGCCCCCAGTGCTGTGGGTCAGCGTTACTGCAGAGAGCTGGTCTTCTACTTTCCTCCTGCCTAAGGATTAAAGAAGGGGCCAAGGCTGGATCCTTTTCATGTCCCTCCATTGGCACCTAGACCCTCAACCCCCTCTGGCCCTCATTCAAAGGCACTCGCGGTCATAAATACCAAGGGAAAGTAGATGGTTCCTGGTGGCCCATCTTGCCGGTGAAGGACAGAGGCTTCAGCCTCAAACTCAGAGGACAAGCAGCACATTCTGGTTTCCTGCCGGTAATCCTCAGACCAAAAGGGTCCTCAGAGGGTTCATGAAGCAGTAATTGGGATTCCTAAGTCACTTTATTTTCACCTCTCTCGTATTCTGTCTTTTTTTTTTTCTTTTTCTAAGCTCAGTGGCAAGACCTATCTCCTATATTTTGCAGTGCAACAGAAATGCATGTTCTCAAAGCATGGGTGGTTTTTTTTTTTTTGAGATGGAGTCTCACTTTGTCACCAGGCTGGAGTGCAGTGGTGCGATCTCGGCTCACTGCAACCTCTGCCTCCCAAGTTCAAGCGTTTCTCCTGCCTCAGCCTCAGCTGGGATGACAGGCACGTGCCACCATGCCCAACTAATTTTTGTATTTTTAGTAGAGACAGGGTTTCACCATGTTGGCCAGGATAGTCTTGATCTCTTGACCTTGTGATCCGCCCGCCTCGGCCTCCCAGAGTTCTGGGATTACAGATGTGAGCCACCATGCCTGGCCTCTTTATTATTATTATTATTATTATTATTATTATTATTTTACTATTAGTATTTTGAGACAGAGTCTCACTCTGTCACCCAGGCTGGAGTGCAGTGGCGCGATCTCGGCTCACTGCAAGCTCTGCCTCCCGGGTTCACACCATTCTCCTGCCTCAGCCTCCCAAGTAGCTGGGACTACAGGTGCCCGCCACCACGCCCGGCTAATTTTTTGTATTTTTAGTAGAGATGGGGTTTCACTGTGTTAGCCAGGATGGTCTCAATCTCCTGACCTCGTGATCCACCCACCTCGGCCTCCCAAAGTGCTGGGATTATAGGCGTGAGCCACTGTGCCTGGCCAAGCAGGGTGTTTTCAATGAAACTCTTCAAGTTTGTTAACTTAGCTGGGAGCTACTGTTCCCAGCAGCCACCAGAGGCCCAGACAGAAGGGCACCAGCGGGGAGTCCACCGGTCCCTGGGGGTGGCCTGGTCAGCAGGCACAGCTTCCACGACACAACTCCATGAACAATGATATGAAAGTTGTTATTATTTATAGATCCTCAGGCTAGGCAGGGCCACCAGAGAGGGACCCAGGCAGCTGGACCCCCTGTTGGTGTCCTTGTGTCTGGGCCTCTGGCAGCTGCTGGGGACAGTAACTACCAGCTAAGTTAACAGAAAAACTCAAAGAGTTGTCAACAAACTTTTTGACAGGGGTTTGACAGGGGTCAAAAAGTTTGTTGATAAGCAGTCAACAAACTTTTTCTGTAAAGGACCCGATCATAAATATTTTGGGCTTTGTGAACCATGTGGTCTCTGTCACAACCACTCAACTCTGCCACTGTAGCACAAAAACAGCCACAGGTATTACACAAATGAATGGTGTTCCAATAAAACTTTATTTACAAAAATAGTCTGCAGGCCAGATTCTGCCTTAAGCCATTACAAATATTTCAGAAAACCCACATAGAATATACCTTTACAGTTATGATAAGATTGCTAATGAATTCCAACCAAACCTCTCTGGCTGAGCAACTCAGGCTGCAAGGGGCCACTCATGGTGGTCTAGAGCTTGATTGGCAGTTTCATAAAAAGGAAATTTGCTGCCAGGAAAAAAGACATTCTTAATCTGGGACCACAGAGGTTATGTCAGAATGCTTTCAGTTCCAAGTGACAGATACCAAGGCAAAACAACCGTAAGAAAAATAGGGAATTTTTTAGTTCATGTAAGTGGACCAGTTTCAGGCATGGCTGGATCTAGGGGCTGAAACAGTCAGGATCTGTGTCTGTCTTCACCTTTTTTTTTTTTTTCTTTTGAGACAGAGTTTCACTCTTGTTGCCCAGGCTGGAGTGCAGTGGTGTGATCTCAGCTCACCGCAACCTCTGCCTCCAGGTTCAAGCGATTCTCCTGCCTCAGCCTCCAGAGTAGTTGGGATTACAGGCATGCACCACAACGTCCAGCTAATTTTTTTGTATTTTTAGTAGAGACAGGGTTTCTCCATGTTGGTCAGGCTGGTCTTGAACTCCCGACCTCAGATGATCTGCCCGCCTTGGCCTCCCAAAGTGTTGGGATCACAGCGTGAGCCACCGCTCCTGGCCTGCGTCTTCACCTCTTGTTCTTGCTTCCGTTGGTATGCTGGCTGCAGGCTTTCTCCACATGGCTGGAAGGATAGCTGCTGGCCATTGGTGATCCAAAAGGGAGAGAGGCCTGGTCTGTTAAAGCAACTGTCCCCAGTCTTTTTGGCACCAGAGACCAGTTTCGTAGAAGACAATTTTTCCACAGATCAGGACAGGGTGGGGGTTGGATAGTTTCGGGATGATTCAAGTGCATTACATTTAATGTGGACTTCATTTCTATTAGTATTAGATTGTAATATATAATGAAATAATTATATAACTCACCATAATGTAGAATCAGTGGGAGCCGTGAGCACATTTTCCTGCAACTAGACGGTCCCATCTAGGGGTGACGGGAGACAGTGACGGGTCATCAGGCATTAGATTCTCATAAGGAGCGAGCAACCTAGATCCCTCACATGCGCAGTTCACAATAGAGTTTGCACTCCTATGAGAATCTAATGCCACCGCTGATCTGACAGGAGGTGGAGCTCAGGCAATAATTCAAGCGATGGGGAGCAGCTGTAAATATAGATGAAGCTTCACTTGCTCACCTGCCGCTCACTTCCTGCTGTGCAGCCCACGGACTGGTACCAGTCCATGGCCTGGGGGTTGGAGGCCCTTGTCTTAAAGCATCCTTAAACTACAGCTCAGGGAGAGATTCTGATTGGCTCTGCCTGGGTCATGGGCCTACTCTTGGACCAATTACTGTGTTTAGGAAGATGTGGTTCTGTGATTGGTGCAGTCTGGGTCACATGTCCAGCTGCGTAGCAAAGGGGTGGGAGTCAGATGTAGTATAGGGCTCTATGAATGCTCACCCCACTGGGACCATCAAGTGGAAGAAGGACAATTCCCTGAAAAGGGAGATTTAGACTGAAGAAAACAAGTCCATAATAGTGGTGAAAAATAATAGCTCTTGGTGATAAAAACGCTAGGATTCCAGTTCTAATGGTCACAAATGTACCTGTGAGCTGAGGATAGCATCGCATTGCCTATTTTATGAACATGTCGTGATAGATTTGGGGTTTGTGTATCACCCTGGCCCCTGTTGGAGCCGGCAGGACACCCTGTTTTGAGCTTTGTAAGACAGAATAAGGCACTTCCCATCTCAAGGAAGGGGAGGCCGGGTGCAGGCTTGGCTGGAGACTCGGACTTCCTGCCTGGGATCCCACCCACGAGTCCAGGGCCTACGGTGTAGGGTACACTAGAGTGGGCAGTGCCTGCTCCAGCCCTGTGATAACTTGGGGGAGGCTGGGGACTGCCGCAGGATGCCAGAGGCTGTGGAGCCCTGTGCCAGGGGCACAAACAAGGGGGTGTGACCACGGGCATCTGCATCTCAGCAGGAGGAGGACCGCTATAGGCTTATGCTCAGCAGAAGCAACAGTGAAAACATCGCCAGCAACTACTTCCGGTCTAAGCGGGCCAGCCAGATCCTCTGCACCGACGCCAGGAAGAGCCTCAGTGAGTGTCCCTCCCCTGTTCCCACCGTCTCCACACAACTGGGAGAGGCATGAAGGGGATAGTTTTGAAGTCAGACAGACCTGGGTTCAAAAACTCCTTTCCCTCTCGGAGCCTCAGTTTCCTTAGCTACAAAATGTGGGGGGTAACACCAACTTCTCAGGATTAGGTGAGAGGAGGTAAGGAAATGGCCCAGCCCGGGGGCTGGTGCTCAATACAGAGTCTCCTCTTTGCTCCATCCTTGTCTCCCCTGGCCCCCGTAGGCACTCAGCACATGGCTCAGGGGCCCGGCTGGGGATGCATGGGTTCAGGTCTCACTAGTTACACACCAGCTTCCTGGCGAGTTACGCGCCAGCATTGTGACTTCCTCCAAATGTGAATTGACTTCACTTGTCAAGGGCCACAAATGCAAAATACGCTTTTAAGAATTAAGCATCACTTCATTTATCTGCTTTTAAAACTGAAAGCAAAGCCCGCAGAGCTTCCAATAAAATAGCAATAAAGAGCAAATCTTGGCCAGGTGTGGTGGCTCACGCCTGTAATCCCAGCACGTTGGCAGGCTGAGGTGGGTAGATCACTTGAGGCCAGGAGTTCGAGACAAGCCTGGCCAACATGGTGAAACCCCGTCTCTACTAAAAATACAAAAATTAGCCAGGCGGTAGTGGCGCGTGCCTGTAATCCCAGCTACTTGGGAGGCTGAGGCAGGAGAATCATTTGAGCTTGGGAGGTGGGGGTTGCGGTGATTCGAGATTGTACCACTGCATTCCAGTCTGGACGACAGAGTGAAACCCTGTCTCAAAAAAAAAAAAAAAAAAATTAGCTGGGTGTGGTGATGTATGCCTGTAATTCCCGCTACTCAGGAGGCTGAGGCATGAGAATTGCTTGAACCTGAGAGGTGGAGGTTGCAGTGAGCTGAGACCGTGTGAGCTGAGACTGTGCCAATGCACTCCAGCCTGGGTGACAGAGTGAGACTTTGTCTTAAAAAAAAAAAAAAAGCAAATTTTAGTTCTATATATTGAGGTTATTTAAGAGACAGAACGGGTAGAGTTGAGGAATAAGGTGGTGGGGGGTGGGTGGGGAAATAGGATTAATTGAGTGCCTGGCATTGTGCCTATGTTGCAGATGAGGAAACTAAGGCTCAGAGATGAAGCAGCTTCTCTAAGGTTATAGGAAGCAGTGGAGCTGGGCTTTGAACCCAGGCTTGACTGGCTTGAGATCCCAGGCTGCCTCAGTCTGAGGCTTTAAAACCCCAACTCCCCAGCCCAGCCTCTTTAGATGCAGACATAGTTGCTGGGTCTGAGACCTCAGCCAGAGCAGCCTTGCAGAGCCTGGGGTCCCAGCTGCAGGGCCAGGGCCTCTGGCTGGGCAGGGGGTGGCGGGAGCGGGATGGGCCAAGCTCTCCATCCTACCCACTTAGGGCATTTTCTCTCCATCCCTGCTCTCTTGGCTTACCAGCACCTCTGCCCCTCTTCCCCACAGCACATCACAACTCGCCACCAGGCCTCAGCTGCCCACTCAGCAACAACCCTGCCATCCCACCCACCCAGGCCCCTGAAATGCCCCAGCCCCGGCCCTTCCGCCTCGAGTCCCTTGACATCCCTTTCACCAAGGCCAAGCGTAAGAAAAGTAAAAGCAACTTTGGCAGTGAGCCTCTGTGAGCACAGCTGCCTGCCGCTGTCTGCCTTATAGGCATCTAGAGACTGCCAGGCCCTCCCAGGGCAGTCCCAGCCAGGCCTCCTCCCACCTGCCACACAGCGCTCCAGGGCCTGAGGGCTCCCTCAGCCCTGGGAAGACACATTCCCTTCCCTGTTCCCCAGAGAGTCCACCTCTGCCCTGGGCAGGAGCCCCTTGGAGGCTGAACAGTCCTCCTTAGAGAGGCCTGCTCCAGCTGTTCGCAGCACATCAGTGTTTCCATCTGCTCACCTGCCACGGAGCCCACACCCATGCCCACCAGTGTTGGTCTTTGCTTCAAAGCCTCAGACCTGCTTCATGGCCTTCACCAGCCCTGATGGAGTGGGCAGCAGCTGCCACGTGGAGGAAGCTCAGTATCAGCCGGGAAGGAACTGTGCCTCTGCCTGACTGGCCCCACTTCCTGAGAACTGCCCTGCCCTGGGGGTGGTACAGGGGTCCCACAGAAAGTCTTCCTGCACTGCCCACCCCTGGCTGGTCTGTGGCCCAGGGAAGGCCACTCCACATTAAGCTGCCCAATAAACTGCTTTTAAGATAAGCTCCCCTTCTCTGGCCCTCTGACCGTGTCACTTGGGGCCCCTCCCTGCCATTGTAGCCTGGCTGTCCCAGGGAAGCTCTTTCTGGAAGAAGGGTTCTTTTGCCTGGGACCTCCAGGGTTTCTGCAGCTCCCTACAATCGTGAGTACATTCTTCTGGGAAGAGCGTCTGAATTTTCATTAGATTCTCGAAGGACCTGTGACCCAAGAAAGCAGACCCCTTGTTGTGGAAAATAGGGCCATGTCTCACTGAGGCCAGAAAAGGGCCCAGCTTTTGATAGTCCTGGGGGCTGTGCTGGGACTGGGTTCCCTGATACAGCCAGAAATGAATCCAGGCCAACCTATTTGTGTCCACATAGCGGGGTACCTCCCCTTGCCCATTCTATCCCAGGCCTCTCCTGTGGGGAGCCCCAAATCTAAGGGAAAAGGCTTGGCCTTTGGCACAGTCCTGGAACCCATTTCACTCTGAGCCTCATCTGTGAAATGGGGATAACGCCCACGTCACAGGGTTCATGTGAACATTAAATGAGATAGTATGTAAAGCTCCTGGGGCATAGCAGGTGCTCTGTGTTAGTCCTCCGCCTCCCTATTTTGTATCAATTTCCATGGCAGGCCCCACAAGACACAGGCCTGGGCTCACACTCTTGAGAAGCTCACACTCTTGAGAAGCTGGGGTGGGGGTGCTTGGACAGCTACAGAGATGTCCAGCCAGTGGCAGGCGGCAGTGCGTCTTGAGTCAGAACAGGTGACATCAGGTCTTTTTAAAATTATTTTTAGGCCGGGCGTGGTGGCTCATGCCTGTAATCCCAGCACTTTTGGAGGCCGAGGCCTGTGGATCACAAGGTCAAGAGATCGAGACCATCCTGGCCAACATGGTGAAACCCCGTCTCTACTAAAAATACAAACAATTAGCCGGGTGTGGTGGTGGCACCTGTAGTCCCAGCTACTTGGGAGGCTGAGGCAGGAGAATGGCAGGAAACCGGGAGGAGCTTGCAGTGAGCCAAGATTGCGCCACCGCACTCCAGCCTGGGCGACAGAGCGAGACTCTGTCTCCAAAAAAAAAAAAAAAAAAAATTATTTTCTTTTTTTGAGACAGAGTCTCGCTTTGTCATCCAGGCTGGAGTGCAGTGGCACCATCTCAGCTCAGTGAAACCTCCGCCTTCTGGGTTCAAGCGATTCTCCTGCCTCAGCCTCATGAGTAGCTGGGATTGCAGGCGCCCGTCACCACACCCGGATAATTTTTTTTGTATTTTTAGTAGAGACGGGGTTTCACCATGTTGGCCAGGCTGGTCACGAACTCCTGACCTCAAGTGATCTGCCCGCCTCGGCCTGCCAAAGTGCTGGGATTACAGGTGTGAGCCACTGCACCTGGTAGAGATGAGGTCTTTATGGGGAACAAAGAGTGCCTTTCTGAAGGAAGCAGTGCTGGGTGGGGCTCCCAGAAAGGATGGAGAAGATCCCGGGAGGTTTAAGATGGGGGTGTAAGGAGGGGGCTCCTGGCGGAGGGCGCTGCAAAGCAAAAGGCAGGAGGTGTGGAACTCAGGGTGTTAAAGGCTGGGCCATTCCTGTTGCATGGACGCCCTGAGCAAGGACCTGAGGGGGGATGAGGCTGCTGAGATGAGTGTAGGTGAAGACCTGAGAGCAAAGAGCCTTGGGGTGTCCCTGTGCTGTGGCCGACTCCTAAACAACAGTTTAACACCGTTGGTTCTGAATTAGAGGTGCGTGGACGTGGTACTGTGTGTTGAGGGTGAAGGGCAGGAGTTAGGGTGCAGGAGCCAGGAGCTCTGCAGAAGCTTAACTTGGGGCGGAGCCAGTGGGAATGGAGAGCAAGCAGAGTCCGTTAAGAAGATGCATGGAGGGAGGTTTTGATTTTTGCCCCATTTTTGGGTTGGTGGACAAGTGTCAGAAAGGAACTGCTACCTTCTGTCTCTACAATTGCCGTCACCATTGGCCTCAGGATTGTGGTTGGGACGAAGAGGACAGTGGAAGTCTTGCTGCTTGTGGTAGTTTTTACTTAGACCCCTGGTGGGCAAAGGCAGGTCTGAGGTGAACCGGGTGGCCTGTGTATTAACCTAGAAGAGGTGGGAGTCACATTATTGAATGGATGTTCAGTCTAGCCTGGCGCTAAGTGCTTCAAAACCTGCCATGTTCCTTCCAAGAGCCCAGAGATGAGTTAATTAAATGGCTGTTCCTAAGGCACACAGATAAGCAGCGAAACTGGACCTCGTCCTTAGCCCTATTTACAGCCAGGGAAACTGTCCTGGAGAGAAGTGCAATGCCCGGGAAACGGCTAGTGAGAGATGCAGCTTGGAAACAGAACCATCGCTAGGCCAGTCCACTGCCCATCCACAGTCTCCAGCGTGGGCCACCGAGCTGGGCAGGACAGGCCCGTCCATGCCATGGCCCCTGGAGCCGTGAGCCCCAGGAAGTTGGCTCCAAGTGCCCTGGCCCTGATCTTACTCTTCCAACCCCTCTTCCCTAGAGATGGTGGAGGTGGGGCTTAGTTCCTGATCCCGAGCCTTCCCAGGCCCAGTGAAGACCCCGCCAGCGAGAAGGTGGCTCCACAACCTGCCCGGGACGCGACGGTCAAACCCAGGCAGAATCCCTCAAGCTCCAGCGGGCAGCGGGCTCCAGACTAGGGGGCGGGAGGCCGGCCTGGGCGGAGCAAAGGGCGCTCGGCCTCGTTGATTGGCCGCGGCTGCAGAGCTGTCTCTCTAGGATTGAACCTTTTCTTTAGGGAGGCGGGGCCTTGATACACTCTCACCAATAGGGTTCAAGGAATCCGCCTCCCACCAGGACACTTCCGGTTGTGCTCTGCGCTCCTTACCGCCAAAGCTCCGGCTCTGGCGCCTAGCCCCGGCGTATGCCGATCACTTCCGGGTGATGCTCCACGGCCACGAGCCGCGATTGGGCTACCGTAGAAGGGGTACTTCCGGTGTCCAGGTGCTGGGTTCTTTGGTAGGAGGAGGAAGATGGAGCCCAGCACCGCGGCCCGGGCTTGGGCCCTCTTTTGGTTGCTGCTGCCCTTGCTTGGCGCGGTTTGCGCCAGCGGACCACGCACCTTAGTGCTGCTGGACAACCTCAACGTGCGGGAGACTCATTCGCTTTTCTTCCGGAGCCTGAAAGGTGAGAGCGGGGTCTGAGGGAGGAGCGTGTGGGGGCCTGGGGTTGTTATGGCATCGAGGGCATTGAGCACTCTCCTCCCCACTCCCTTTCCTGGAGCAGGCCGCCCAGGTCTGGCCTGCCGCTTGGGGTGCGGGTCCGCGATGTCTGCAGCACGGGTTTCCCTTCGCGTCCCGTCTTTCTCAACTACCTGTTTTTTCTTGTCCAGACCGGGGCTTTGAGCTCACATTCAAGACCGCTGATGACCCCAGCTTGTCTCTCATAAAGTATGGGGAATTCCTCTATGACAATCTCATCATTTTCTCCCCCTCGGTAGAAGGTAAGGGTTCCGCCTCGCCCCGAGCACTGGGATTCGAGACCCGGGACTGAAGGATTGGTTTCTTCTGGTTCTTGGGCATGTCCTGGGTGATAGGATGGGCGCTGCTACCACGGAGATGAGAAAAAGGCTCATTTCTGACCTGACCCTAGGAGGGGAGATCTCTCTAAAAGACACAGCTAAGGATTGTGGAGTCAAGTGTTGCTGCAGATTATGGAACCCAGGACCCTGCTGCTCTACTGAGAAGGGAGTTTACTCTGTAAAGGGCCTGATAGAAAGATGGAAATCTCCTGGGTTGGGTTTGCCTGGGTGGAAAGAGGAAATGGCCTGTTATTAATATGGATTGCTATACAGAGGCATTGTGTATTGTGGCAGTTGATCTTAAGAATTCAGATAGATTCATAGCCTCAGGCTGGAAAAAGAGCCTTAGCAATTATCCAGTCTACCCCTCCTCCCGTTTGAGGCTGGATAGATAGATACGTCCAGCAGCCTCAGCCTCGCAGAGGGCGAGTCGTTTAACAGAATGAATGTCTTGGCCAGTTTATCCAATTTATACTTGAGTATTCCTGTTTTACGAGGCAATCCACTCCACCACTGAACAATTCTGTTAAGAAGTTCTTATATTAAGCAAATATTGTCTCCTGCTTTATTTTGTTCTTAAGCTCCCCAGCACCTTAGAGAATAGATCTAATGCTTATCTTGCTTGGAGGCATATCCTCCACATAGTCATAACTTATTCAGTTGTTTCTCCTCCGGGCTGAACATCCCCAGCTCCTTGGCTGTTTCTCTTTTGCCATACTTTTTTGGTGAGCATGTTAGTCATTCTCTTGTTTATTTGCTTCAGTTTATCTTTTTCTCAAAAGACTCAAGTTATCCCTGTCTAAGACAGGACTGCCTTCCTCCCTTCAGTTGATGAAGCTTAGGAAATCCTTCATTGGTGCCTTTTTTTTTTTTTTTTTTTTTTTTTTTTTGAGACAGGGTCTTGCTCTGTCCCCTAGGCTGAGTGCAGTGGTGCGATCATGGCTCACTGCAGCCTCTACCTCCCAGGCTCAAGGGATCCTCCCTCAGACTCTCGAATAACTGGGACATGGCTTGTTTATTCTCTGTAGTTCACGTGAGGTTCGGTTCCACCAAATCCCTCAAGTATTTTTCCTAGGCTTCTGTTACTTACTGTGTCACTTCCAACTCCCTTGCAACATGTGCTTTTGGAATTGGCTTTTTGGAGGCAAGATTAGTTAGGCGGATGTCACCCCCAATTGGTATAAGTTGAAATATTCAGATGACTGGGCAGGTGAATGGAGGCTTCAGTGTAGTAATGGGTGGTTTGCCAAGTTTTTACTGTGTTTGCAACTTTGAAATAGGTACCATACAGTGGACTGGGGGAGATCTTAAGGATAGGGAGTGTGCCCTAGAGGAGTTCTTTCAGTCTGTTTTTGAGGAAATAAAAGACCTGAAATGAGTTACCAAACCGTGTGTCAGGATGTAAGATGAAGTGGAAGCACTGTCAGCTTGTATAGGTCAGAAGGAAAGAAGCAGTGAATGAGACTGGTCGGGAGTGGGCTGA